ATTTATAGCTATATTTATAATTCTATACTCTCTAGTCTTTTTTTTAGCTACGAGAAAGAAAGAATTTCGATAGAGATTATAATACGACTTAAAGATTCCTTTTTAAATTTAATCTTTCACTAATATAATTATCTTTTTCTCTAGGGCCTTAGAAATATAAAAACTTTTAGTCTATTATACTTTATATAAAATAGTTCGAATAATCTAAGATAATACTACTTTCTAAATAATTTTTCTAATCTCTAAGAACTTCTAGAAAAGTACTTCTTCTCTATTAAATAATACTTTCATTAATATATTCTTTTCTAATTTCTAAAGAACGTCTCCGATTAAAAGCTACTTTAGTCGCGTTAGCGTTAAGCGTAATTCTCTTTAAAAGGTTATAAACCGCGGTATAATTCACTAACTATAGCGGTACGGTATCGAATAGAGCTCTATAGCTCTTTCTCTAGTTATTGCTCTCTTTCTTTAGTCGATTAACTTATCTAGCGTACTTTCGTTCGTTTAAGATATATTTACCGGAAGAATCTTATTAGCTTTACGCTTATAGAGCGTATTTACGCGAGCTCTTAAGCCTTAAGCTACTTTAATTTTTCTATATCTTATCTTATTCCTTATATTATTAATTAAGCTAATGAAATCTCTTCGCCTCGAGAGCTTAATTAGCTATCGGCTATTCTTCTCATCTCGAAGTTCCGGCGAGAAAATAACCCGACGAACTTTAGCCGTAGTCTCGTTCACTAGACTCTCTTCGTCGTACTAATAAATTAGATTTAATATATAACTTAATAGATCTCTACTCATTATATCTCTTTCTACTAATATTAAACTTTTATCTTCGTCTTCGTCCTCCTAGTAAAGCTCTCTTTTTCTTATCGTTATAGAGGTTAAACCTTTTAAGGAGATAAATAAAGGCCTTTTATATTTCTATTCGCTAACTAGTTTAACTCACTATATAATAATTTCACTATTTCCGCGGTTTTCTCATTCCCATCGACTTCCTCTTCTCTTACCTTAATCTAAACGACACCTCTATTCGTCTATAAACGGAGAGTAATTACGTAATTCTCATCGTTGTCTCGTATTATCTATATTCGCACTATAATCTAGAATAAGGTTCCTAATATTAATCGATAACTAGAATCTATAATCCGTACAATATAAATAGAAGTCTTAATGTCTATATCGGTAATAGTTAACGTTAACGAATTAATTAATCTAATAAATCGCTATCTACGTCTCTTATCGTAGCTAATAAAATTAGTAACGCTTTAAGTAGATCGAATCGTATTTTCTATTTCGATTTCCATTATAAGATTCTTCGAAATTAAATTTATCTTCGCTCCGCTATTAATTAATACTCGTTTATATTTATAGCGAAGCTTAATATCTAGAAACGAACATTTAGTAAGAGCTAACTTAGTGATTTAAGAATAACTACTCTCACTATTTAGCCGTACCTTAGAGATCCGCGCCTTACGGTGTAGAAGCTTCTAACGATCTTCGTTATACTCCTAGATTTTTCTTAAGAATAGCTTCTATCGTATTTCTTTCGACCTAGCCAATATATTCTAAATAGTAGTTCCGACCATTTTCTATTTTAAAATCTTATTAACTAAGCTTACTATTTCTTCCGTAAATATTCGTCTAAGTGTCTTCTAAAGCTTTTCACGGGGTATGAGCTACTTTTATTTCTATATATACGTTCTTCTTTTCTAACGTTATATAACTAAACTTAATTCCGTATCTTTCATTATCGTATCTTAACTTTCTAAAACTTCTTAGATAATGTTATCGTAGATAATTTCTAGTTCTATAAAACGTATCTATCTCATCGGATTTTTTCTCGGTTATTTCGTAGCTTAATTAGTAGCTTTAAGAATCTCTTCTATATATTATTCTAATTAAGCTTACTTCGTAATCGGATAGTTCTTTTCTTTCTCTAATCGTTTTAGAATAGTCTTATAGTCTACTATACTATATTTAGCTTTAGACTCTCGCGCTTTACTCTTATTAGACGTTCGAGTAGTCGTAACTATAGTCTCTCTAATTTTTTCTTCCGAAGAATTATTAATTACGGTCGAGTCTCTATATAAATCTACTCTAAAATAAGAGACGTATAGACTCTTTATTAGCTCTTCTAAATTATGAAAGATATCTCTAAGATAGTTTAATTTAGTCTTTAATTATAGAAAACGAATTTCTTTAATATCTTTTCTCGATACTTTAGACCTCATTATAATATAATTTCTTAAGTTAAAATAAATCTATTTAACTCGTAGATATTTCTCTAGATACGAATAGCGAGGTTATATATACTTAATCTCGCTATAAAAGTAATAAACTATATTACGTTAATCTCTCTTATAGCTAGGTCTCTCGGTCGCGAATACTCTCGATCTTAGCTCTAAATTTAAATTTAATATATAACTAAATAAATCTAAATTTACTATCGTTACGTTCACTAAGGCACTAATTATCTCTATTATTACTTATATTTATTTCTTTAAGCCTCTTATTTCTAGTATTATCGTACTTTAGAAACGATTAGATAGTTTATTAATATATTCCGCTAATAATAACTTAGTAGAGAGAAGCACTATTTCTTATTTAATCTAAGAAGTCCGAGAAGATACTTTATTAACCGTTTTCTTAGTTTTCTTATTCTTTTTCTTATCTTTTATACTTCTCTTTTTCTATCTTAATATCGAGAACTTTTCTTTACGTTCTTCCACTAAATTATTTAAAGCCTAACCTTCTAAAGAGTCTATAAAACGATTAATATTATAGTAGACTTACGAGCGATTCATAGCCTTTTTATAAATCTTATCGTACTTAATTATTTTAGTATCTTTATAATTAATATCTAGATCTAAGATAATTTTATTACGATCTCGCTCCGATAACTCTTTTAGTAACTATTTATCTAATTAAATAAAGATTACTTTCTCTTCTTTAAGTAAGATATCGTTAGTTCTTTTAAATTCGCGTAGATAAATACGTATATCTTTCTTACTCTCTCGCTTTTTATTCTTAAGCGATTATAAATAAAAAAGAGTTAATACTAACTAATCTTTATCTTCGTTCTCTTACTTCTTTAGTATCTTTCGCTTAATATCTTTTTAATCTCGTAGTTTATATTTAGATAGATTATAAATAATTACTATATAGAAACGATTATAAAAACGAATGATCGCTTTAATACGATCTTCTTCTAACTATCGATTATATAAAAATAAATACTTAAAATTCTCTAAGAATATCGTAGTATTTACGTCTTTAAAGAATAAGTATTCGAAATTCTTCTTACTTTCTTACGGTATCTTTAATATAATTAGCTCATTTTTATTCTACGCTATTATCGTCGAATTCGGTGTCGTTATTATCTATATTAGTTTTAACGAAGACGACTATAAAGAATCTCTAGAAGAAGATAAGAATATAGCGAAAGACGCTAAAGAAGTATTCGTAGCTAGTTCTCGAAACCTCGGTATCCTAGATTACTCCGATGTCATCGCTTCTATACTTCGAAAGAACTAGTTTAGAAGCTTATATATATCTTCGATTTCTTTAAGTAATAGTTAAATTAATAAGTAAACTAGCTACGCTCTTAATAAGACGCCTTCTTCTCGGAATTTAATCTAATAGTCGAATAGATCTCGCTCTTTAATACTTAGTTCGTAATCTTTTCGATCTATAAGTGATCTTCGTATACGAGAGAACCGACCTTTCTAATTAGCTCTAATATTACGCGAGTAATCTCTATAGCGTTAACTAAGTTCGTACCTCGAATATTAATTAGCTAAGAGAACTATATTCGACGTAGTAATAGCTAGCCGTCGATAATATCTTCTTTACTTATTTAACCGTAATAGTCTAGAATCACTATTATAGCTCCATACCGAATTCTCTATTAAAACATTCCTTTATCTTAAAACTTAGTCGTATTCCGTATCTCTTTACTTTTTTTCTTCGTTATTCCGCGTATTTATCTTCTTACTTTTTATATCTTAGTTCTTCGATGAGTATACTTTTTCGACGACTCGCCTAGAAGAACTTCTAGATCTTAGAGAGATAGTCTTCTTTCTCTTCGAGTTTCGCGTTAAGCTTTATACGTTACAATACTATAGCGTCTCATTCTACTAATTAAGTATCTTTTCTTCGGAAATACCTTTACTATAGTATTCTATCCGCGATTAATTAATTTACTTCTTAAAAGAGCTATTTATCTTAAATTCTCCTTAATATTTCGATTCTAAACTCTTTCGTAGAAAAGATTTTCTAAATAATTAGTGAACTCTACCTCTATAAGTAGCCTTATCGTCTTTTAGAGTTAAATCGATACTTATATAAATTTTAGTCGTTAATCTCGAACTTCTATTTAGTTATATTCTCTACTCTTTAGTATTAACTTTAGTAATTCTTAATGTAGTATCTTATTAAGATATTATCGTAAAGAGTTCGAATCTTCGATAAATAGATTATCTTCCCGCGGTCACTAACTATAATAGAGTACTTTAGGGTTTAGCGTATACGTATAATAACGTATAGAGGCCTATCCAGTAGATCGGGAATCAAGAACGCGTTTCTGGTTAATACTGATAATAACACCATTAACACTACCTAGAGAGGCAGCGACTAAGGCTACGAACACCTAGTACAGCGGCAGTATCGAGGAACAGAACAGAACTAATAAAATACTCTCAGAATTTAGGTAGACGGCACCAAAAGCCATGGAATTCATAATACTCTGCTCAATCTGTAAAAAATGAATGGCACACTGCCAGCACTGTAAACTGTTCCGCACCTCCTCTCTACCAGCCCATTTAGGTTTAACATATAACTAGACAACTTTTTCACCTTGCCACCGCTCTACCAGCCCAGCACAGCCCATCACAGCACAGCCACCTTGCCTTGTTACAGTATGGAGGCATTTCTCAATTTTGGTTGTGCTAGGTCGGCCGAGGTGTAATCGCAAAATGTACCGTAGAATGATAAGCCTAGGGCAGCGCAGCGCCAACATTTATTTTGACACCAAACACTGATTTCGAGTCCTCGCTCAGTAACCAAACTACAATGCGTGCCACATCTTCGGGATCCAACATTTGCCAGCCCCTGGTTTTCCAATCTTCCAGCTGTGCCAGATTTCCACCAACGAATTCCTTCATCATCGGCGTCTGGGTCGATGCTAATGACCAAAGTTAGCATCTTAGTTTTCTCTCAGAGAATGCTTTCACATACCCGGGGAAACGCAATTCACTCGAATCCCAAATGGATGGGTATCCTTTGCAACACTCTGGGAGAAGTGGGCGCAAGCAGCCTTGGAGGTACGGTAGGCATAGATATCAGGATCGTGCTTCAAGGGAGCCATACTACTGATATTCACAATGGCCCGGTCTCCAGGAGAGAGGTCTTTCATGACGCTGATCTCGGCTCGAGTGCAGTAGAAGACGTCTGATAGGTTTACGCCCATGATCCGAGACCACATCTTGTCAGTCTCTTCGAGTATGTTTGGTGCTTTCCTCATCCCAATCGCTTGCGGCAAGCCTGCCACATTGGCTGCACCGTGGAGGTCGCCAAAGGTCTTGATAATAGATTGAATCCACTCGTCCACTGCCGTCGATTTCGCCACATCCAAGGGAGTGCAGTGTACTTCTGTTGACGGATTCACCTTAGCGACGGACTCTTTCAAAGCTGCGAAGCCAGTCGGCGAGATATCAGCGGCGCACACAGCGCGTGCACCCCGTTCAGCAAGGAGGCGACAGATGGCCGCACCCATACCTAGCAAAATTCAGAAAGTCATCTAGACGAGGCATAGATTGATCTGACGACTAGGCCTCGCCACGTGGTATTGACTTACCAGAACCTCCACCCGTCACTGCAAAGACTCTTCCTTCGACGCTCATGACTGGTAGCACCGAATAATAGTAAGTCTACACTAAAACGTAGCAATAAAATTCCAAGGATTCACCTCGAGTTACCCTCCTCTCACCAACTGCTTCAGAAATTGTGCGCATTTATGTTCTGGCCACACATTGGGAAGGCAACATCGGAGCTAGCATTCGGCTACGGTAAAAGCATTGCTCGGTTACGGTGAAAGCATTGTTCGGCTGCGGCGAAGTGGAATCAAATTCACAGAATTCAGGGCCTTTTTTACCATTGGCTTTGGTGGCTTGATCCTGCTTCTTTGACAAATGGGACCGCGCCACAAGACCACATCCTCCCCAGTAGGCCGGCTCGGCAACCCCAACTCCCACATTTAACTAGGGGCGATTGTGGAGGATTCTCACTGTCGAATCTTTAGTACTCACATTCAACATTACGATTTTAGATCGAACCCGGGCTCTCCCCGTGGGGATGGATCTGCAAAAGGCTGTCGTTTGAGTTCGCTGCACGCTAGTCAGCCTACCCCTGCCCTGCCTCCGCATTTGTATTGCACCCCGACCCTTCCTGTGGCTCTGGTTGCCACTGTTTCACCGTTTCTTTAGTCCTCTGTTTCCCAAGCCTTTCCTCCCGAGTCCGTTAATGAGCATTCTCCATCCTCCATGGGGGTGGCTTGCATACCAGCCCTAGTGCTCAACCTATACTTTTATAATAGTAAACTTCGTCAAGAATATTAACTGAGTTGCACATAACAAGGTTAAGCCGCTGAGCGTTTTCCGATGTTGACGCAACATTTAAAGCGCCCCGTGGTAAAGTTGCCTGCTCACGCGATACTGCTAAGGCGTTCATGGAAAAGGTGCCCGTTAATACTATAACGGGGCACTTCTGGGCTCGGAATGCCCGTGCAACAACGCACAGGGGCCTGTCCGGCTGGTCAGTAATCGAGAACGCCTTTCTGGTCAGCGCTGGCAAAAAAAATACCACCACCGACACCACCTATAGAGAGGCGGCGGCTAGGACAACGAGCGGCTAGCACGAGGGTGACGTTGGAGAGTGGAAATGGACACAGAGGGTGCTCAGGGATAGGTAGACGGTATCAAAAACCATGGAAAACTCTCATAAAACTGTAAAGAATGGCATACGGCCAGCACGCCGACAATGATTGCCTACTGGCATGCATTTCACTGTCTTTTTTTCTTGCTCTCCTTGTTCTTGCATGTTCAGCTAGTCCTTCTTAGCTTCCACCCTCATAGCCACAGCCAGAATGTTAGTCCTTTTTGTCCTGACATGTGACCAGCTAAATCGCTCCCCCGCTACTCCCCCATGCCACTTTACCTTGTTACAATATAAGAGCTCTCAACAAAAAGTGCCGGGGTCAATCAATGAGGAGCTGAAGGGTCCTTCCGTTGTGCAGAGGATGCTTCTCGAATGTGAAGGGGTAGCAGAAAGATTGGATGAATAGGATTAGTACGCACACTGTAGAGAGTAAAATTTAGAGAATCTCTGGACTAGCCTTATTAGGCCAGGGGATTCGAATGAGGTGTTATAATCATGTAATAGGGAAGCAACAAAAATTCCGAAATCTCTCTAGCGTCTTCTTTCCACATACCCAAAAATATCCTGATTCATTCTAGCGGGCCGTGCCTCCCCCCAAAAACAGTTGGCTAAGCTTTGAACTAGTTCAAAAAGATTTGAACTTCGGCCCGACACCATCAACCTTGGGGCTGGTTAGTGAGACGTGTTGATTGTTGTAAAGCTATTTTACAACTTCATTCTACATAGACTCCAAAATTCCTCCTGTTCAGTCAGAAATTGCTTGACATCGCGAGTTGCAGATGGCTTTTGTTCTCTGACTCGCTGTCTTTTGGCCCTCAGTCTATCTCAGATGCGCTCCTCGAGGATCTCCAAGCGATACTGGGTATATTCTGAGTAGAGTTCGCTCAGGTCACTGATGCTGCGGACTTCGGTTAGGACGCTCTCGTCCTTAATAAACGGCGACTTGGGTTAGAAAGATAATCATGCTGATCCGCTCACAACCGCCTATGGCCTTCAATGCTTTGTGGTTGATGTATCTGCCCTGCATGATGACAGCAATCCCCTAACCAGGCCCTTAATAAATTCGTCGATGTTTATTCAAGATTGACGCCTCTCACATGCCATAGTTAATCCTCGGACCTTGATGATTTCACCAGACCCTATTTTCAGAGGAGTCTCTCCTCCAATCATGCCCGTGCAATCAGAAAGTCAATATCAAAAGGCGGGGCCTAACAATCGACATTGAGAGTTCGGAAGAAGATAAGTCATATATCACAGATCTGATTCAGACAGCGGAAGCTTACAGATGGGCCACGCTGCTTCTTTTGCGTCAAACTGTCCCAGAGTGGCGTGGGCGCATTCACAGCTCGAGCTAGCGCAGAAGACCCTCGTCTATCTTGCCACTATCCCGCGAGATTCTCCCGTAACCGTTATGCAGGCCTTCCCTCTCATGATAGCAAGCGTTGAGGCCGTTCATTAGGAGGACAGAAACTGAATTCGTCAAAGGTGCGAGCACATGTTAAAAGTCAGGAAGATGGTGATCGCTGAGCGATGCCGGAAATTGATAGAGGAGGTGGCAGAGGAGGGATGAATTTGAAGCGTGTGTCGGATTTGCCCCGCTAGGGTAATGCGATGAGGATCCCTGACACGAGTGGGCAAAATCCATCCTTAGGTGATTTGAGCAATGAAATCTCCAATGCAAGTCTGTTAGCCGGGTCAGCGCAAGTCTACGGCTTCGCTCAGTGTCAACCATCTTCCCAGACTAGGCGGCGTTTAAAAAGGAATAGATCCCGTGACAAGAGCTGGTTACACGGAGTATACAGTGCGAGATTCTTTGGATTTCCTAGAAATCATGAGGGAGAGCAGGCAGTGTGAGTCAATTGTCTGCTGGCCAAGCAAGCAATTACCATCTGTCCAAACATATTAACACAAAGGAACAGTCGGGCTCGCTTGATTCGACCTTCGCCGTTACCTTTTCACACGCTTTTTTTGCGCAGCACGAAATAGTATTTTCTTATTTATGGTTGCAAGGCTGTGTGACTACATACGTCGCTGGAGTCAGCTGCTCGTATTATCCGGCAAGATGGAGAGCCGAAGTTGTCGAAGTCGAACCCCGTGGATGAGGGTGAAGACGCTTCTAGGCGGATAGCTTAGCAGCTACAGAAAGACAGGTTCTCGATGTGTCATTTCCTGCTTATGGCAATCCTTGCTGTAGTCTGACTCTCGATGCTAGACTTCAGCACGTGGCTTGAGGATGAGGTGACTAAGACTTCCACCCAAAGTGTGAAGCGCCTGATGAATGGGATGCAGAGTTCATTGGAGAGCCTCAACGACGCGGCTCTTGACTTGGGTCAGGATTATACCACTTGTATTTCTGGCGTGACTCGCTGTGCCTGTGTCTTCACTAACTCGGACAATGTCGAGGGTCCATTTCTCCGCGGGGATAGGGACGAAGGCTCGGGGATTCAAACCACGCCCCCGCGGAGTTCCACTTTGGCGGAGCATCGAGTAGAGCCATGGCCGGCTTCGTATAGGAAGAATGCCCGCCAAGGTCAGAGGAAAAGAACATATTTTCTACCACGCCAGCACTTCTTCTGTCGCAGATTCCGTGTTCTTGCCTTGAGCAAGGCATCGTGAAGCTCAGCTACAGTGTCAAAATGGCTGCTGATAGCTCTACATTACGCATTACACCGTTACACAAAACATTTATCGCTCAAGTCGAAGGTGTCGACTGGACGGCGCCAATCTCTGACGCGATCATCGCGGAAATACAAAAGGCGATCGATAAATATGGCGTGTTGGTTTTTCGTAAAGCAAATATCGACAACGAGACGCAGGTAGCTCTAACAGGGAGGTTCGGCAAGCTCGATTTCATGCCCACCGTGCACATCAAGGGGCGCTTTCCTCACACTCCGCAAATTTTTGACCTATCCAACCTAGACGAGCGGGGGAACATCATCCTGTCGACGAATCGATTCTTATCTATGTCCATGAAGGGAAACCAACTGTGGCACGCCGACATGCAATACCACCCACACCGTGACAAGTATTCAATACTGCGAGGAGTTGAGATCCCCCCACCTGGCATGGGTGGCGAGACCGAATTCGCGGACTCGCGCACAGCATATGAAGCCCTGAGCCAGGGATGGAAGGAGCGCGTGGAGAACATGGTGATCAACTGCTCATTGATCCACAATCGACGGACAGGGGCCCCCGATTTGTACAAGGACGTTGACCCGATGAAATGGTCAATCTCTCGCTGGAAGGCCGTATATCCGCATGAGGGGAGTGGACGCAAGAACCTTTACGTGACGAGCTACGGCTACAAGATCGATGGCATGTCGGTCGAAGAGAGTCAAAAGATCATTGGCGAGCTGATTGCTCATGGCACACAGCCACAATTCGTCTACAAACTATCTTGGAACAACCCGGGCGATATGATCATGTGGGACAACACTGCAGTCTGGCATCGTGCGCTAGACGACTCAAAGTTCCAACACAAATTCAAGAGAGACATGCGTCGGACAAATACTTTGGATGATGGACCCCATGGTTGGGGAGAAAATGATCCGAACAACAACTGGAGAGTACAAGTACCCAAAGATCCATATGCACATGAGAAAATCGTGCCAAAGGCCGCGCCCGCGGACCTTCTCACGGCGGTGAAAGTTGCAGTCTAGGATGCTGCATAGAGGAGGGCCAAAACGAGATAATCTACCACGGCAAATTTTAAAATGTACCTTTGCTGCTATTTTGTCGTGTCTTCATTGTGCCATCTCAGTGTGAGTATTGCCTCGACAATACGAAAGCTACAGGAGAGCAATTGGTGTCATTAAGGTGACATACCTTCCCAAACCATTGCACTCTTCCAGCAGACATTTCATGACGGCCCTCTTTCTCCTGGATGAATACGGATAACCATGCTCGCGTCCTCCATGGCCCCGATCTTGTCTTGCACTGTGATGAGATCTGGCCTGCTGACAATTCCAGCAGGACGTGCGATCCGACCCCTAAGTGCAACATAGTCAGTGGCCATGCCTACGGCGGGTTTTGGCACGTCTCCAGCTGTCATCGTAGACTCACGATAGTCTTTCAGAATTGCCGAAGCTCGGATTTCTGTGTCTCCACCAGTCTCGCCCAGCATAACTATGCCCTTGGTCGCTGGGTCTCGGATCATTCCTGATATAGAATCTAATAAGCTTTCGGTAATGGTTCCTGATTATGATGGCCCAGTCAAGAGCTGTAGAGCTCTTATTTCTGCCCACATCCAATAAACAATCCGGTGTCTACCTTGCATATCTACACAAGCAGACTAGTTCGGCGCAACGCATACTGTGCCCGACAGAACGACAAAGTATTTTCGAGCTTCGAGCTTGCAGCCTGTGGAGTCCAGTCGGATCCCATCGACAAGCTGATTGATTCAGCCTCTTGCATGCCAGCACCAAAGGGCAGACGCAACAGGTTGAGACTGCAGGGTCTCCTCTCATGGTGCAGATCCTTCAACTCCACAGCTGCATCTTTTGACCCTGTACCGCAGAGAGCGTGGAATAAATTTTGATGAAGCAGATCCGCATTGGATCTACGCTGGTTGTGGGAAGGAAACCGATCACATGCGGCTCGTCAAGCGACGCCAATCCCGCGGAACAGCTCGGTGTTGCTGTTTTCGTGATTCAACCCGTCTTGTGGATATCTCGACACAATGCAGGCAGTTCTCGCCCCTCTTTCAACTATTCTTATATCCTCTTTTGATATCTGCCAATTCAGAGTTTGAAATTAGGCGAATTTACTCCCAAGGAGGACCTGAACTATTTGTCTAGTCTTCACAGCAGCCATTCCACCATGATTAGAGGCGAGGAAGTATTGAAACACAACACGACGGAATCATGTTGGGTCATTGTTCATGGCCAAGTATACGATGTCACCAACTTCTTAGGTGACCACCCTGGAGGCTCCACAGTCGTCCTTCGACATGCTGGTAAAGTACGAAGAAACCTCCTTAAACCCGGATATCGTCAGGGCTGGGTTGCCCCGGCTGAATACATTGTGTCTTCTAGGATGTCTCGGAGATCTTTGATCCTATCCACCCCAAAGGCATACTTGGAGAGACTCTTACTATGAGTAAGTCAAACTGTCGCGACACTGATATCATCACATGAGCCACGACTGAGATGATTTCCTAGAACAAATCCTAGGGCCGGTAGATCCTGCGAGCAGCATAACAAAAGCCTCACTCCCTCGAACAAACGTCGAGAATACGAGCCCAGAGAACAAAGCACTCCCTCTTTCGCTCTGCATGAACCTCGATGACCTTGAGATGAGTGCGTGCAGGGTGATGTCTCGGCGGGCTACAACTTTCATCACGTCAGGTGCCGACAGTCTCGCCTCGGTACGGCGGAACCGGAAAGACTGGTCAAAGATTATATTCAGGCCGAGGGTACTCCGTAATGTTGCACGAGCCGATATGAGACGCAATATACTGGGCAAGAAGAGCAGTCTGCCGTTCTTCATCGCGCCAATGGGTATGGCAAAGCTTGCACACAACGAGGGAGAATTGGCTCTTGTCCGTGGTGCCGTGGCCAAGAATATTCCATATTGCGTAAGCGGCTATTCTTCTATCCGCCATGATGAGCTTATGGCTTGCCACAAAGAGTCGGGGAAAGGGGGGTTTTTGTTTTACCAATTATATGTGGCTAAATCGGGCGAGGATGCCACTCGACAGCTGATCAGAACAGCGAGAAACCTGGGTTATGAAGCACTCTTCGTCACGGTCGATGCTCCTGTCATCGGCAAACGAGAAGAGGACGAGCGGTACAAGGCCGAACTCGACTATGCTGCAAGAGGTGCAGAAGAAATAGTGCGAACCCCCCAAACCACCTCGAACGAAGCGCCACCGGTACTGCGAGGGACGCACTCCTACACGCTTTCTTGGGACGACCTAAGGTACATTCGAGATGCATGGGGAGCCTCATCAGGACCCGTCGTCATCAAAGGCATTCAAACTGCAGAGGACGCGAAGATAGCAGCTGACATGGGATTTGATGGTATCTACTTGAGCAACCATGGTGGTCGGCAGCTTGATTATGCTCCAAGCTCAATCAGAACCCTGCTTGAAATAAGGCGATTCTGTCCCGAGATCCTGTCCAAAGTGCAAATATTCCTGGACGGAGGCATTCGCCGTGGTACCGACATCATTAAAGCATTATGTCTTGGAGCCACTGCTGTCGGCATCGGTCGACCATTCAATTATGGAATAGCTCTCGACGGGCTTGCAGGTTGCAACAAAGTCACACAGCGTAAGTCTTTCTCGACATCTGCCTTGATTTGATATCTGACATGCTGCAGTGCTGAGCGATGAAATCGAGACGACTATGAGGCTCCTTGGCGTTACAGATCTGGGACAGCTTGGGCCGGAAATGGTAAACTGTAGGGCTCTGGAAGAGCAGCTTCCAACATCTCTAAAGTCCTTCCATGCAGAACCAAGAGCAAGAATATAGAATGCCCCACATTCGAAGATTTCGCAATGCAGCGATACTTCCAAACATACGCGTCTCTGGAAACAGACACCTATGAAAGTAACATTTTGATTCAGCTGTTACCGGTCATCCCTCTATAAATGTCTAGCCATGACTGAATATATCTCCAGTATCTTCACAAGAACAAAATCCTGGATATCTAACCTTGTATCTGAGAAGTGTTGAATGTTCTGCTCATTGTTAATTCCAGCCTGCAAGATTGATGGTCTAGCGTCCCCTCCCTCCCCCCTCCCTCCCAAGGTAACGATGCCGCACACCTGCATGAGGTCTTGAGTAATCGTCTCGCCCTGGGCTTCTCGTAGTGAGAATCATTGCTAAAGCTGGGGGCCCTGAGTGTGTGCTACGACTTTTACCAGCAAGTTGTGAGACTGAGTTCGGTCGCCTACACCATCCCGAACATGAAGCCTTCACAAACTCTGCGAAAGCAGCCACAGTTAGATAGGCATGTCGACCTATTCTAAAGATTTTGCTCTATATGTCGTTATTCTTGCTTAGCCACCTAGCTATACCACCAGCTGAAAGCACAAATACATCCCATTGAAGCAAATATTTAGGTTGAACGTTTCCTATTGTGCCCTTCTCCTTCAGAACTATTGTCCTTGGTACTTTGTTGAATGAAATGCCGACATGACTCTCCCCAACACTTCGGCTATCTGCAATCAAATCATTCAAGCTGATGAACGATAGTGCGTGGCATACCTGGTAATATAAGGTGCCCTTGCGTATTCAGATCATCCTACGACCAAGACTCCACCCACTTTGCCGGCCAGAGACTAACCAGACCCCAGGATTCCTATGACTGGATGAAAGCGTGTCGAACACATGCTCCCCAGAAGTCTTTCATGGCCCTCTCGGCCCTCTGATATCTATGAAGTCAGGCTAGTGTCGCGTAGCTATACCAGAACACATTCATTCAGGATTTTTCCCTGAAAGTTTCTAGCGACGGATTGCCAATCGTTGAGCATCATTCCCAGGTGACAGGTCTGCAGACCCGAAGCTGGCCAACGACATATTTCCCGATAATACAACAGCACACCATCAGGAAAGCTCTGGCAAAGATAGCTACCTGAGTCTGAGCATGTTGCGTTGGACTATATACGAGACGTAAAGTGCCAATCCGTAAACGGCCCTGGGCGGCCACCCCAACCAAGAAAGGCTAAGCATGGTTGTTTTTTTTTTTTTTTTCAAAGAGGGAGAGCCTGTGCAAATGGTGGTATTCAGCATTCTAAACGTCGCAAGCTCTGAGCAGTATGCATCTCGTCCCTCTACTCCGAGCTGGAGACCGAAGTCGGGCTCCGCGGCGTTAGATGGCACCTCGGGGATGCATGACTGAGCGACAGCTGAAGCGTAGTCGGCGTCGGTGATAGCTGACTACGCTTTATGCAATCCGCGGAGGTCTTGTACGCCGATTAAGAATGCCATTTTATTATACTCGCTATTCTTTGATCATCTTGGACAATACTGCAGACTGTTGTCTTAACTCGATATGCCTTACGCAACCGGTATCGAAGTCACCCAAGTTGGGCCAACTTTTGCTGCTGAACTCCAAGGTATCAATCTCAATCATCCAATTTCCGATGAGACATTGGAAGAACTGAAACAAATCATCGGAAAATATGGTGTGGTCAGCGTCCGCAAGCTTGGACCCAAGTCCGACGACGACTTGATAGCATTTGGTGCTCGCTTTGGAGAACTCGACTCGATCAGGCCACATAAGAGGGCCGGGAGAAAAATGCGGATCCCGCAAGAGGAGATTTTCGATATCAGTAATTTGGACAATAATGGGGAGATCGTGACGACCGCAGATGCGGAAAGAACGGCCACTGCTTATGGCAATGCGTTGTGGCATGCAGACGGGACGTTCAACCCACGCCGGACGCATCTCTCTATGCTGCGGGCTGTGACGCTCCCTCCAGAAGGCACTGGGGGCCACACGGAATACTTGGATGCAGCGCAAGCTTACGACGATCTTTCCGAGGAGATGAAGGAAAAGGTCAAAGACTTGGTGGCCTGCCACTCCCTATTCCACAATCGAAAGACGGCCAATCCTGATTCGCCGTTGTTCAAGAACATCGTGCCACAGGATCACCCAATGGGAAAGCACAAGGTTGTCCAGCGCCACGATATCACCGGTCGGTCGGTTCTATTCATCAACTCGTACGCCCACCACATTGACGGAATGGCTCTGGAAGAAGGACAAGCGCTGATCCGTGAATTGTTTGACCACATGAAACAAGAGAAATACATGTACGTCCACCACTGGAAGAGCACCGGTGACTTTGTTATCTGGGACAACACAGGTGTCCTCCACCGGGCGACCATTGGAAACTACCAACACCATCATGTCAGAGACCTTCGGAGGATCTCGACGTTAGACAGTGGTCCAGCTGCGTATGGAATGAATGACCCCGGCACGTATTGGCAGCAGGGTTTGCCATAGGCCTGGGTGTGGGTCTATGTTGTGGCAGTGCTTCGATGACTTTCCAATTTTTCGCTTTTCGATGTAGCCGCTGTAGGACAATACTACGCAGCTGATTACACGAATATTGTTCTGCAGAAAAATCCGCCTCCACTCAAGAGTGCAAGGTCAACCCTTTTCAGTAGAGCGCCAATGGTGGACGGTATGCTAGCTTTCCCAGACGACATGAAAATTCGTTTGCATTTGAGTGCTAGATGGATACTGCTTAGGTGTTGAACTAGAAAGACCTTGAAAATCTCATGTACTGGTCTCGTCTGTCTATTCGTGTTGTGTCTGAGAATGTCCCTAGCCGTTTATCTACAAAATAACCTAGGTACAAAAGTGTTCTCCTGAACCCTGCCACCCTTTCCTGCTTACGGCAATCCTGGCGATAGATCGACAGGATTGACAGGAAGACTGTCAACATGAGGTGGCTGTGATTTGGTATCCCTCAGTGCTGATTATGGAACTAAGTTTCAGCTTGAGGGGCAAGTGTGTGCTTTTTCGAAGCAGTTCTAAGAGGAGAAGGCGGAAGCCTAAGTTCACGGGGCCCGAATCATACACAAGACAGTATACTATCAGAGTAGAATCTCAAGGCCTTTTTCTAAATTCACTGTCTTGAAAGCCAGCGAGTCAGATCTACAAAAGGAGGCAAACTCTCAGCACAACAACTCTGGTATACAACACTTTCATGTCTTGAATAGATCCATGTCGCTACGGCCTCACTAGTCAACTTTTTCAAGTTAGACTCACAGTCCCAGCCGCCTAGACGGTTGAAGCGACATAAGAATGGACTCTTCAATAGTCCAGAAACGGCGGCTCTGGACTAGGAGGAAGGTCTTTAGCGTTATTTAGTGTTATCCTAGACAGGAGGATTCGCAAACTGATATTAGCTCTAAATTCCTATACAGGAAGATAAGAGGTTCTGCCCACTATATGTATTTCTATAAGGAGCGAAGAGCATTGTAGAAAAAGAGGGGAATAGCCAGTGGCGGTACGTACCACTTTTGTGATTCTCCAGGCACTGTCCAGCAATGCTCTCAGCTCAATACCATTTCCTGTAACAAGAAGGATGTTTCAGCGAAGTATCTAACAAGATTAGATATCTTTACGTATATTTTGACTAAGTAGTTTGCTTGACTGCACAAGTACCGATACTCTCACAGGCTATCAAGCCTTTTAATTAGGACAAAAACAGCGAGCATTCGACTCCTGGCGACAACCTGGAGTCGAAATCAAAGACGCGACTCTCAAGGAGGCAGCCGCCTTTGTCCCACCAAATCCCCAGCCATCTCGTCCCTGGAAGTTTTGGCTTCGCCATGGACCTTGACAAAAAGACTCACAATCAGTCGGAGCCTGCATCTTCTGCATGGGTATATTCATGGCTTTTGCTGCCAACATGGCCTTGCTCCAAGTTCTTGTCGTAGGTATCTCCTGTGTTTTCTATGTTGCCTGTGGCTGCCACATCGATCTCATCCATGTGGATGGCTACACGACCGCCGAACAATTCTTCAAGTTCCTCGAGCGGAACATTTGCGGTCTAGTAGCAAGTCAGTCTGCCATAGATCAGCATTGCGAGTTTTTACACGTACCTCTGGAAGGAAGAAGTAGATCAGGAGACCCTGAAGACCAGTGAGACAGACAAAGAGGATGTAATATCTCCCTATGTAAAGTTTAGCACCAGTATCTCACACCACAGGGACTGGAGGACTTACAACCGATGTTGACAAAAGCGGTGGGTGCAGCTTCGGTCCATACAACGTTCAAGACGAAGAAGCCTGCGATCGCAATCGAGCCGCCTTTTGTTCGCAAATGAGTAGGAAACAGTTCGCCAGCCAAAACCCAGACTTGGGGGTCAATAAAGGCTCCGTAGCTAGAGGAAAATTAACACAAGCCAAGTAGGAGATAGGGCGATCCCTCCTTACAAGAGCTCGAAGAGAAAATTGAAAAAGACACTTCCGATGGCGTAGCTACGACCTCCTGTTTGGGTGAACTTAGCGGTCAACGCGGTGAAGAGTATGAGACAGATGAAAGCGCCAGCATATCCAATAACTAGCAAACATATTTTGTCAGGTGTGAGCCCCAAATGGTAGATCTTGACAAACCTAAGCCACGTCGACGACGGAGATTGTCGGCAAATATAGCCCCAACTAAGTTCCACACCGTTGCTAACGTGAGCCAGACCGCATTCAGAAGCAGTGAGACCGAGGTCGAGTTGCCCAAAGAAGTGTATATAATGACTGAGTAGTCTGCATATCTCATCAGCATATCATCCCGCAAATAAAGATGGTCGTGAAGACGTACTTGAGATGACCAAGACACCCGTGTTCATGGCACCCGCAACGACCAATATCGCAAATAAAAGTTGCTTGCGGTGGACTTTGTCTGTGAGAAGAACCGCATATTCGGAGCGGCCCTTCAAGGCAGCTTCATCGATGGCAATTTGGGCCATTATCTCGTGGGCCTCCTTGCGTGCGTACTCATTTGTCGTGTCACCGGGTGCCTGGTGGAGGCGAGTCAAGACATTCAAGGCATCCGCTTTTCGCCCCTTGACTGTAAGCCAGCGGGGGCTTTCCGGCATCCAGAAGGTCAATCCAAGTGCAACAAGTCCGAAGATCAAGGGGACAGCTAGCGGGAAACGGAAGCCGAATGTGGTGGACGTCGACGCAAAAGACGTGCTGTATCCGATCTAGAGTTCCTTCCGCGTTAGTCCTGTCGTAGAAAACTGTCGAGAAACTTACCCAAGCTCCAAGGCAGAAGCCAAAATTTTGGCCGAAAGCGTGCATTCCAGCCATCGCGCCACGAGATAGAGGGGGCGCGATTTCCGACAAATAGACTGGACCGATGCACAGTGAGTTACCGCTGGCGAAGCCGATCAAGCAGCGATGCACGATGTACATGGCTTGATTCATGGCCCCTGCTCCAATGACACTACCGGCGATGTGCCAGAAAAGAGCAAACCGGAAGGCGCTTATTCTGCCAAAAATATTCATGAAGGGTCCAATGGCAATGGATCCCAAGAATCCGAACGCGTAGTACGCTCCAGTGACAGCCGATGTTATGGTGACAGTGTGGCTATAGCCTGGTTGTGTTGGCGACATTGCAAGGCCCATCTGGTTGTACCAGGAAACCTGACCCAGTGTGTATGCTACCGAGCCAGTTTGGTAGCCGAGAAGGATCGAAGCGACAGTTGACGCCACGACAACCTAATCATTGGTCTTAGTATCAACTCCTCGCTGAGAATTTCCCCAGAGTCTACCAACCAGAATGTTATATAGGGTAACATGTCTTTCGGCCATGGTTGCTGTAAATACGGGGACAGCCTCTGGTATGGAGTAGGACGAGGCTGTAATGGATAAGACGAAACCACAGGGTGTTGAGAATATCTTCGCTGACAGTGCTCTACGACACTAATATGCAGGAGATGCGGTATATGTCGGGTCCAAGCGTAGACCTGTCTCCATGTTCTGCCTGCATCATGCTAATTCTTCAGTCCAATAGAAGCACAAGATATGAAAGTTCTTTGGCCAGCCGAGTGTCGAAGCATCTCCGTGGCAATATCGAGCTTCTAGACTAATCAAACTTTTGCAACCCCGAGAGACTTTGCCGAGAAACAGACTATGAAGATCACGCGATGACACAAATTCCGTCGGTTCGGGAAATCCAAGATGGCGAGGCCTCAGTGGAAGACAGTACGCCGAATCTAACAGACCTATTTGATCGTGGTCCAGAGCGGCAAGATATCCTCTCCACCAAGCGTATGACTTGGCGTTACCTGAAGAAGACCAGCATGCCAAGGTGTCCATGATATAATTATACATTTACGCTCCCGGACACCGCGCCACAAATTTCGGTCCTCTTGGAAAACCCCATATCTAAAAAATGGCGGCGTTAGGATTATGGGACTAAATTATTCATGATTGATTGCATTGGAATGCCGCTGGAGCATTATCATGTGACCGCCTCAACTACCCCCCAGGTTAAGGCCATAAAGTACCACTTCTATCCCGATTGGGCAATACACGAGACCTCGTGGCACTACGGCATTTAAGCCTCTTCCATCACATGTAGAACTTGTCTTCCTTAATCGATTATGGCCCCCTAGATTGGCCCAACAGAGAGAAGAGTGCTTCTGTCATACGAGGGTGTGCGAGTTACGGGCGCTAGCCCCTTATTAATGGGCTTTGCACGTTGGGCGCCAAATGTTCATTCGTAACATGAACCCTCTGTAAAATCCCGCGGAGGTATAGTGCAAGTGCTATATCACTTTGCTGCTCCTGTCCCCTATCAAACGAACCACTCTGATTTGTTAAAACATGCATAACGCGGGACAGTTTCCAACAATATAACTACCAGCCTGGACAAGCAGTAATAGCTACCGCCAAGGATCCCGACCGTAAATTGCTTGTGACCCAGCACGCCGATGACTCGACCACGAGTGTGGGAGAAACAACTTGGAATAGGCCTCGCACGATAAGAAGAATGACATGAAAACAGACCCATTCTACGGTTGTTACACCAAGTTGAGGGTCTTTCTGACCCAGCTCATGGTCATCTTAAGCTCAACCAACCAAATTCTTCGATAGACCTCTATAAGTAATACATGCTGCACTGCACCTCAAGAGACCCACCTTTACTTAGTTCGAACCAACTCTCACAAATTATTTTGAATTTGGTCTACTTGAATTGTGCACCAAACACCACTTCTTCGAGCTCCCAGAGTTCGAATTAAGCCAGTGTACGGGATCACCAACGTGGAAGGAGTTGCCGCGCGAGTCATCTACGCCGCCAAAGAGAATACTGAGCTACGCAGTTATGTTATGCTCCTGGGCCGGTGCCAAAGAATGAGATGGCCTTGAATATTCGTCGAGCCTGTGGGTCGTGTGCATTGGACCGTTCAATGAGCGCGGGTCTCGGTCTGGCTCTGAGGTTTCAAGCCCCAGGTCCCACCCTGAAAAAATTGGTGCCTCGTTTCACGAATCACAAGCGGTACGAGTTGTTGCGAGGACGGATGGTTGTATCCTCTTCCTGTGTGTAAGTTGTTCTCAAGGAGAGCTACCTTCTGCCTGATAGGAGAGCTTGGCTAAGAACGGTCTTCGTAGCGAGTGAAACACTATCAATGACCCGAAAACACCAAGACGTCACCCGAGGCCCATCAAATGCGGGGAAAACTGGAACGAAGCCTATTTGGCGTCCTGCTAATCTCTACCCAGTACGTGGGGATACCTCCTCCTGCAAATCGAAGTGACATTCACGATCTTTACATGGGCTGTGGCGGTGCCGACAACGAACTCGACCGAACAATAAAGCACGCCTTGCTACCTTTTCCTCGTACCATACGCGTTTCCGCCGGCATCACAATGGCTAGCACCTCATATCGCCCAGTCGTTTCTTTTCCTGAAGAGTTCGAACCAACGTGGCGCAACGCCTTGTTGCAGCAAGACGTCGTCGAGCAAAATTCTGTCCTCACCAACGTAGTCATTATACCCTCGGAAACGAACACCAAACAACCTAAGAATCCGTCAGACACCAGAAACAATGCTTTGGGTAGCAAGAAGCGTTCAACTAAGCTCCAGCCCCTGGGTGAGCTACGGAAACGTCGAAAGTACGTTCACGGTGATGGAGGGACTATTTTGTCAAGAATGATATAGCGAACACCGATACTGACCATCTCCCGCGCTAGAACCATTGCAGCTGAAGTGGTGGCCGAGGAGCACCCTGCACCTGGCTCGATCTTGTCATCGGCGACGCCTCGTCCCTCAACAGAGATACGACCTCACAAGGAAAGCGATGGATCAACAGTGACGCGAGATGTCTGCAGTACTTCACCTTGTGAGTTACACCGGGTGAAATATTCAATGCGTCTTCTGACATGTCTGAATGAGTAGCTAAAGCAGCCACAGACGGATGTCCTGGATTTGCAGCTGCGTCGCGACCACCGCATAGACGTTGTGCGGCGACGGATCTTCCCAGCTTTATTCGGCCGCTCTCTTGTCGGGCCGGCCATGATGAAATCTCTTATCTCTCTTCGAAAGGTGCATTGTGGCTCCCTCCGGCCAAGGATCTACTGGTGCTTGTCAAGGCATATGCCCATTTTGTGCATCCTTTCAACCCCTTTCTGGACATCAAGAATCTGTTGGATGTTTGCCACATACATGCGAATCCCTCTGAGGGAGTCACGCAACCCAGAGGCCGCGATCGTATCAGTCTACTTACGCTGAACGCGGCCCTGGGAGCAGCAATCTCGGTAAGTGCTTTGCGCTGTGCCATGCTTAATCGTGTCCAACAAGTGCATGCTGATGTCGTTCTTAAAGTATGTTGACACGGCATGCGTCGAGAGAATGGAGTTCGCCTCACACACTGCTGCCCGAGACGCGTTTTACATGCGGGCAAAGTTGCTCTACGACTTGGACTGCGAAAGTGACCCCTTGAGCGTGCAGCAAGCCCTGATCCTCATGACGTACTGGGTGGGCATACCTGCAGCCCAGAAAGACACGTGGCATTGGCACGGGTTGGCCGTCAACACGCTGGAGTCCATTAATCATCGGGAGCTGACTTCCCCCGGTGCAACCACGCAAGATCAATCTCGGAAACTCCAGAGGAGACTGTGGTGGAGCTGCTTCATCAGGGACGCTTGCCTGGCTCTTGGCCTGAGATGCGCCCCTCGAATGAAGTTCGATGAATGCACTATGGCCATGCTGACTCTAGACGACTTCGATGAGATTCCGATCGGAGTGCACCAGGGCGAAAGCACGGCAACAACCTGCCAGTGCTCTTATGTTCCCGAGCGAACATTGGTCGTGGCTTTTGTACAGATGGCCAAGCTATGTCTTATCATCAACGGTATTCAAGCTTTCATCTCAGGCCCCAGCAAGACGAGCTCCATGGACACGAGCGCAGCGCCGTGTTGCAACGTCGATCCTGCTACAAGGACGTCTCTTGTCACGAAACTCTTCAGGCAGCGCTTGCAATCGTGGCTAGCTGACCTCCCTGCCGAGTGCCGGTACAGCTCGGTCGGCCAGGAAGGTCATGGGGAACATCATTTTGATAGATTAGAGGCCAGAGTGAAGGTCCATGTTGTATTGGTGAATATGTTCTACTATTCTGTGGTTTGCCATTTGCACTTTCCGCAGCTACTCAAGGAGACCGGCAACGGCATCGGGCGACTGTTCTGTGAGACCATGACTACATCTATTGCGGTTAACATGGTTCGTGCTGCCGTTAACGAACTTACCACATTGGCGGCGATCGTCATCTGCGATGATTTGGTCGATCATCTTCCGGCTGCTTCGTAAGTCTGCGTCCCTCTTCTATGCCGCACAGTCTCGAACTGACCTGTGTGTGTTCTTGACAGTTCCTCGGCATTGATGCCCGCGATCGTCGTACATCTTGCTAGCATTCATTCAAAGAGCTTGTCCAAACAACCGATGACGCTTCAACCCCTGGGGACGTACCTGGGAGTCTTCGCGGGATTGGTGGCAAAATATGAGTCTGCACGGCTCCTGATGCACCGTTTCAGAGAAAGTCTCGATGACGCAGGACTCCGACTTGACGACGTTTTGCTCACTGCGCAACGGCAGCTTCAGACCATGGCATCCTGTACTCATCTGGACTCGGCTCCTGCCTGCACTGGAACAGCGCCGTTGACAGATTTCATTGGAGACGTTGCGGGATCAGAGAGACCATCCCCAGCCACGCGTGGGAGCTCTTCTGGGATGACTGACCACGACTGCATCGCTCTGGGACAAACTGACGATAGCGCACCTCATATCGCCTCATCAACCAATTTGCCATCCGTACCTAACTTAGTACCACCTTCGACATTAGCAGAGCCTCGTGATAGCTATGATTTCCTAACGATCCCGGACGACAACCTTGTTCCTGCAATACCATTGTCGGGCATTGGGCTGGGAGATGACATGAGCGACAACGTGGAACCGCTATCCCCGTCCTATTTACTCGAGGCCCTTGACAAGTCATTGGCGTTGCCGCACTCGCACTCTTCAGCCTTTTCGTTCGAAGATTTCGATGAGACTTTCGGCATCAATTCTTACACAACCTTTGACGTCCGGTGAGCCACTCTTACAGAAACAGTCCAAGTTCATGTATCATCAACGAAGTGGGACGCGAACGGCTCCTTTCAAGAAGTCGTTCCTTCTTGGTGCCACAGAGAGTAGTTGCAATGGAAGCATTTCTGATTGGGAGCCTGTCAGTCCGGCTTGTAATGCCACTGCATCATACGCGAGAACGAGTGTGATATCACAGCAAGATGCCCATTCTTAGTGCAGCTTATTCGAGCCTCCAGTTGCTCTTGAAGTGCTGAACGGATATATTTATATACAAAGCCTTAATGTCACTCCATACATTAGTTGGCAAATCTACCATCGTAACAAAAGGTGTTACAGCCAATTATCTGAGCCACATTCTGCCGAGGTTCGAAATGCATGCAACGGAGGTTATTTCTGATCCAGCGGGGTTGCGTTAATGTCGAGCAACCGTCTGAACTGTGCCAGGACCAGGCGCAAATCGTGTCATTCTTCTGGCTTGTTCGAACCCAAGAATGGCTTGCGACCACTGTCGGAAGCGAAAAGTCAGGGTATTTCACTCTGCATCACGAGGCAGACATCTTCGCTGACTGATCTCTCAGTGTGACAACCAGCCGCAGACTTGCTCCAACTGCAAGCTCTATAATATCGCTTGCAGCTACAGCCAGGACAGGAGACGCCGGTGAGCCTTGTCTGGGATCTTGTACTTCGTTCAATGGAGATCAACTAACTCGCAAACAAGTTGGCCTGCTCCTCGCCTTCAGGGCAATGCCCTCCGCCAGAGACATTATGCTCGTTCCGAGAGTCAAGCTTGTGAATCCGGACCACTCGAGTCACTTCCCACCACAAATCAAAATGTCGTGACCGAAAACGACAGCAATTCCACCGATGAACCAGGCTTAACGATCGAATTAGACAATTCCAATGACGGACGTATGAATAGCGGCCGGGTCTCACCCTCAGTAGATCTGCCGACTCGTAAGGTATTGGACTCTTGGATGGAAATCGTGGACGGACGACAGCTGAGAGGGACCTCCTTGGCAAGTTATGCATCAAATCGCTCACAGACGAATCGTATGGGTTTTTCTGAGAGGCAAAGCGTGTCCCTCGATCAAGACGTGCGGAGAGTGTCAGATACGACCAGGGCTGGGGGTCTGATGGCGAGCGACCATCTCCAGCTGTTCTTGCCTGGCTCGACCGCCATCCAAAGCCCAACGTCGTTACTCCGATGTCCTCCAGGCAATGATGTGGCAGTGTTGGATAAGTCCACTGCAGAACATGGCGCACCAGTGCCGGAGTGCCTCCCCAGTCACTGGGCCACACGAACCGGGGCTTTGCGCCTGGTCGGACGTGGCGACTTACGGTACTTTGGCGTCACAAGTAATCTCGATCTGGATCGACACGCCCTCATGTACGAGTCGTATCAGTCCAAGAGTCGCCGCTTCCGCGACTCCTGCGAGCAGATTCTCAGCGCGAATGGACTGCACTGGGTCGGCGACAAACAGTTTGAAGATTACTTGACAGCGCAATTCTTCCTCTGGGAGAACTCGCTTCTTACCATCCTAAACGAGTCGATATACTTCCAAGAAAAAGCTCGCTTCGAGAAAGGCGAGGACACCAATCTGTATTCACCAATACTTAATCATGCAATGTATGTATCCTCACGGCGGGCGTTGCTGATGACCATGATCATCACTTCTGACTCTATTCGCCATATTCCGGCCTTCACAGATGTGCGCTCGGAGCTTTTCATTCCACTCGTCCATTTCCAGCAGCTATCCCAGCGGATGCGAAATGCGACTTCTTCGCTGCTCGGGCCAGAGTCTTAATAGACCTTGAGATGGATCATCCGACATTGGCTACAGTCCAGGCTTTGATCATCCTATCTTTCTATGAAGCTGGTCGAGGGGACGATGCTCGTGGTAAGTCATCGTAGAGCCGTGGCTGGCGATGCCACGCGATTCTCTTTGAGGTTCTGTCACTGATTGTTGTCCTTTACGTGTAATAGGTTGGCTATACTCTGGTAAGATGGCCATCTTCATCCAATAGCCCCAATTCTGCTAATTCTGTACACCAACAGGCATGGCGGCTCGAATCAGTGTCGATCTTGGCTTGCATGTTGACGGCCAACCTGATATCATGTCCGTGACGACGAATACAGATATGCTTCAACTCCGCAGAGGCTTGTTCTGGGCTTTGCAAGCCACGGACGTGTAAGCTTGCCAGCCTCGTATCACTTCGCTGTCTCCTTGCATTCTTTCGCCAACATTGGCTACAGGTTCTGGAGCTGTTATCTCGGTAGACCGCTCGCTACCGGGGAGCTTGGGTCAAACGTCCCTCCACCCATAGTCGACGCGGTACGCGCCTGGAGAGATCCTACGCTAGAGCCGGGTCTCGATGCACCGTCAGAAGCCCAGTCGAGAATTTCGCCTACAGTCCACCGACAATTTTGCACTTTGATTTCCATAATGACACAGATTCAAAGCACCCTGTTTGTTCCACGCATCAAGAAGATGGAGCGTCGTTCGAAGCTAATGATGTTGCAGCTACATGGGTAAAACAATATCGCTACAAGACCATCTGTCCTTCGTGGCCTCAGTGGATCATCAATTACGGTGGTGGAGAGACTCCCTTCCATCCGAGTTGCACATCAACGCCGCGTCTGTCTCATTGGCAGGAAGCAATAAAGGTCCTACACTCCTTCACCTTCAGTAAGTTAGCCTCGTCTGAACCCTTCACTACACCCTGTTTCATTGACATTGACGTCCACCGCAGTATGCAGTATCATACAATCATGATACTCCTCCATCGGACCCTCATTGCACCTTTTGGCGACGACTTGCCATCACAGACACGTTCGGACGAGGAACTTCAGACGTGCACAGAATCCGCAGATGAAATATGCCTGCTCCTCAAGATGTACACGACGTCGTTTTCCACTAGGACCATGCACGTACAATCGACCTACGTTGTGCTGACTGCTGGCCTGATCCATGTCTACAAGGTCCACCGAGAGCAAACATCAACATCAACAAGAGAGACTTCCGCTGCATCAGACAATTTGACGACCTGTATCCAGACCTTGGGTGAGATGAGTATCGCTTTCAAGAGTAGCCTACGGGCTCTGGACATCCTCTTATCGGCGAGACGTCAACTGAGTCATGACTGGTGACACGGGCGGAGTCCTGACGGGTGAACACTGAGGTGACATATGTGTTGCCGATACTATCACGATGAGCGAACAGCTCTATTGAGCAACAGAGGGCCTTCCCACCATCAATCGCATCAAACAATCTGACTAGGCTCTATATTGCTGGATTCTGGCTGGGCACAGTGACCAGCTCGAGATTTCTGCCATCACCCACATGGTCACTTTCCTATTGAATGTCCACGCTGGCATCTTGAGAGCTGAACAAACCGCATAGCCCTCTATCGCCAAACACATATGCTGACGCCATCAAAAGATAGCCAAGGCATTTGGTGGCGAACCTACCGAGCCGGGCACGTTGAGCGGTGCACTAGTCAACAGAAACTCGTAGCGGCGAACCTTCCGGCAGTGTTCCCCAAGCGCCTTCAGGTCCCACAGTTCGCCAATGCATAGGCCGAAGAGACTGAGGAAATATTGGTGGAGGACTATTCCGTGCGGGAAGCACAATGCACAAACGGTCAGCTGGACCTCATTCAGGATACCGTGCTAGACTTTAAATTGGAATGAGAAAGGTGGATGAGAGCGTTGACCAGGTCATCTTGTACATGACGCGCAGGACATGCTTACCGAGTTCGTTCAACCCACCCACACGGTTGTTGTCCTCTTCGATGGTTGGCGGGATCACTTCGAATGCCACCTGGTCGCCTGCGACAGCGGCGAAATGATGATTCCAAATCCATCTAGCTGATTCTCGATTACCCTTTACACCGACAGCTTTGTGGGTGCCGAGCAGTCGTGCCTGACCTTGGGCGTCCAACCCGTCTAATTCCTCAGTATACCCGGTCCTGATCAGTAAGATGTCGCCGTGCTTGAAAGTTGTGCATTGGTATTTCGCAACCGCCTCAAGATCCTGGACAGAGATGGCGTGCGCGTCGAAGCAGTCGTACTTTATCCCATGCTCTCGGGCATATTCGCGATAGTCTAAGAGGACGCCGCGCCCTACCATGCACCCACGCTCGTGCCAGTGGTTGAGAGTGGGCAATGCTTTGTCCACGTCAACTTTCCCGTACGGCTGCACCAGGTCGTCCTTGCGAGGCCTGGTGCCATTGTAATGCAGGCCGGTCGGCTGGTGCGCGACATGGACAAGACTGTCCCACTGGCTTGAACACTGGGTGTTAAAGGACACCTCGTCGTCGAAGGCGACGGTACGCAGTGCACCTTCTGACATGTCGATGACATTGTGCTTGAGCGCTCGCCGTCCGAATCCAGCTTCGGCAATGGCGCCCAAGGACCAGTTCAACGAAATCGATACCCCATCTCGGACCTCCTTCACGGCTTCCTGGACAACATCTGGCGTGATGAGATTAAGAGTCCCTAGATGGTCTTTCTTGCCGTCCTTGTCGAAAACACCCCACGCACAGCCCTGCGGCATCCCCTTGACTTTGGGCAAGGAATCGAAGTCCGGAATGGTCGAGAGTTGGGCCATGATGGGCAAAAGGGCTACCTTGTTTGACGATTCTTCCGGTCTTAGGTTGTTAATATCTGCTCAGTTCCAAGACGCTGTGCAATTGTTTGTCTCGGTGCAACACAGCAAGTATGATGAAGGTATTTCTGTTCTTCGCTGCAAGTTGTCGTCTGTGATGGAAAGCCACCAACGCGATAGGTCAAAAGAGGACACCGACATGCGTAAAGAGCCATCTCCGTCATCTCGGAGATGTGAAGTGACCATCAAAGGCCCGCATTTGAACTCCCGACAGATGAAGGGAATGGTACATATACATTTTCCGTGGTGGAGTTTTGCCGGCTGTATCTACGGTTCGCGCCCTCCTTGTTATCTCAACGATTTATCTCAAGCGTGACCCGTGACTAGTTGAAGCCTTTCTACAGGTTGTGAAGGGTTATCAAAGGTTTTTCTTTTTTCCCCCCTCAAGGTGAAGCCGGATTGGGTTCTATATGGGACATCTTTAAGCGCTTGTCCTTGGGGATCATATCGTAGGGATGATTCCTTCCTTCCTCATGGTGTCGAAGACACGTTTTATATCTTGCCGAGTATCCCATTGGACAGTCCATCCGATTTCTCTGCCCGCCTTGTCCATGCTCACATGGGAGCCCCAAGGGGCGTTGCCCATGGCCCATGCAAAAAACCTCCACGTAGCGAACCGTTCACACGCGTCTTTATCACCACCGTACCTGTCCACTATCTGTCCCCAAACGCCTGCCTTGAGCTTGTCCTCGATGTCTCTTGCGAGGTCGAATCCTGGCCTGGTGGTGACAGACACCCCAAAGTAGCTTCCCATGTACTCCCACAGATCGGCGAATGTCGTCTCACTTGCATCATTGTCGACAATGTTATATGCCTGATTGGCGCCTCCTGCATGAGTTGCGAGATAACTGGTGAAAGCTGCTATATTTGAGGCGGATGAGAAGTCCTGTCTTTTCGCGTAGCAGTTGTCGCCGTCTGTCGGTACAGGAAATACCGCAGGCTCGTCCAGGGCCTTTTGTATCGTGAAGTATATCGCGGCTGTGCAGGTAAAGGACTGACCGCTTCCTGAAAAATCGTAGTTAGTTCATGATTATGGGTGTCTGTAGTCTTAAAATAGCCATGTTCCAGGGCGTACCAGCAGAAACACCACTGATCAGAAAAGGACGTGTCACGCTCCACGTCCAGCGTTTGCCCTTCTGGAGCTCAAACATGAAGTCTTCCTGAGGGTAGTAAAAATTGGGTGGCCCGTCCAAACCTAGACGGCCCAGATCCTCCGTTATCGGCTGCCGTGGCGGTGCCTTGTATGCCTGGCCATAGTGTTTGGCGCCCGTTTGCAGCACCACACGTTGCAACGTGTCTCCATTCAGCGTCTCTACTGCAGTAAGGATGTTCTCGAAGAAGGGGACGTTATATTCGTACTGCTTTTCGAAACTATCGTGATGGATGTACGCCATGTGGAAGAAGTGCGTGACCCGAGTCGCACCCATTGCTTCAAGTGCTTCCATGACCGTGTCCACATCTTTGTTCAAATCATACTTGTGAAAAGTCACACGGGCCGACTGCGGTAAGTTGTAAGGGGGGTGGCGAGAGGTTGCAATGATACGGGACCATTTTGGCTCTCGCGCGAGTTGAGAAACGAGATATTGTCCCGTCACGCCATTGGCGCCTGTGACAAAGGCTACTTGTTTCGCTGCGAGAGACATCTCAGGGACGACCAGGACGTGGTAGCGCCTATATACAAGCTGATTCGCAGAAGACACGATCTCTGTACAGAAGGTAGTGTGTCCCCGGAGAGCTCGATTCACTTCACCTTTATGGATATCATGTGCTGCTGATCTGGTACGTTTCACGATACTGGGAGAGACGATCGGTCCTTCCAGAGCCCATTCGCTTCAGTGCGTTCTCCATTATTGTGGATCTTTGTGGAATAGCTCTTTGTGCCATTTCCGGACCTGTGTTCGACGATCACAAGCCGCTCATTCTCCCGCCGCGACACAATCCCGTTTAGCATCCTTCTCGGAGTCGCGTCGGAAATACGGAGATGATTGGGAAGATGGCAAGTCCAAGCGGACTCCCAACTTTAAGCGACTGGTTCTCTCTCCACATGTACCCATTCGGTGCCCATCACACCCACATAACATTCCAAGACGACTCGAGTCCTGTACCTGTGCTAGAATAGCTCTAGTTGCTCTGCTCCTCGAACACCAGATCATGCGCTCCCTCCTGCAGACATCTTGATCAAGAGCTGAAAAGAACACCCTAGCTGCAGCCATGACCACTCCAAGCATCATAGTTATTGGTGTCATTCTATCGGGCATCGTTGTGGCCCACACACTGAGATACAAACTGAGATTTCAAGATTTCACTGTAGGCTACCACGGCAACATATGGACTCGCAAAAATATAGTATGTTTATGTGCAAGATTTTATGGCCTTCATAGCGAATGGTTTGGTCTGCAGGTGTACGAGAAGCTTGATATGCCGGGGGGACCGGAGGGAAGACATGGAGGACAAACTCTTATCCTGGTGTGCAAGTTGTCACAGGACGGGTCCGTGTGCACAGACTGACGACGCTGTTGTAGAAGGTGCGATGTACCTAAATCTTTACTCCTTCTCCTTCAGCTTGAACCCGGACTGGTCGAAAGGACTCAGCGAAGGCGATGAGATTTTAGACTGTATAACAATCCACGTCCAACAATGTTGACATATGCTAAGTGGTCGGCAGACATGGCGGTGGGAGTGGATAAGTTCGACCTTAGAAAACACATGCATTTCGAGATCGAGTGCTTAGGTGCAAGCAAGATGGAATATTTCGACCGATGAATGAAAAGTTCGATTTTGTGACCGCTTGGCTTCGAATACGACAGATCAGCAATGGTATTTGCCTCGGCCGTCGGGGGCACCTCTGACCCACGGGACGTCAAGCTTCCAGGGTCAGGTAAATGACAGCAAATGCGCCAATACACCACATGATATATGCCATAACGGCATAGTACTTATCGGACCCATACCATGCGTGGGGAGCCGCAGCTCTGTAGTCTGCTGCTCTCATGAAGACGTTGACAATGATCAAGGCGGCAATATTGAGGCTTTGTCCGAGTGTAAGCGCATATTCAAGATTGAACGGAAGCCGTGGACATGGTATGTTCTGATAAGAGAAGGCCATATTAGATACGGCTTGAATTTCTCGAAGAGTCCGGTCAAGAACGGAAGGTATCCATTCACGGCGATGACGATTGGGGGGACAAAGGAAGCAACAAGCATGGAGATTCTAGTTCGAAAGGTCAGTCAGTTATTGGCAATTGCACTGGAACGTTGGACAGGACACTACTCACCCATATCTTCCTTCCAGCCTTCCTTCATGCCCGACGGAATATATCGTACTCTTCTTAGCCATTGTTGACTACTTGGCTAATATAATATGGTTAAGCGTCAACTCCGCATTGCTCACAAGGATCTCGCTAGGTGGTTCTGTAGCTTTGACGAGCGACTCATAATTGCTCAACTGTGGAGGAACCTTGAGATCTCCAGTGGCTACTATCGACCAGAATGTTTTCAATTGCAGGTTAGTTAGATGAGATGCCTCGAAGCACATTCCTGGCTGATACAATATGCCATGCTAGTTAAATAAGGCTCATTTGCTGCGAAGCACTGCGGTCTTGTGTTTGAATTCAGGACCATCACGCCTGTAATAGGGTAGTCTGGAGTGGTGCATGCGAGCATCGGAGCAGGAAAGGCTCGAAGGCAGCCATGAGTGCAGACAGGATAATAGTCGTCGCCTGCGAAGCCCACAAGGCAAACACGCTGCTGGCTAGGAAAAGCCATATCAAGGAGAAAATGCCGCGAGCCGACATGCTGAAATAATCTCGTCTCAGTTCATGTGATTTGCAACGCTCTTATTCTTTATTCCTCCTGTGCTCATGGCAAGACTCACTTCAGTTGAGTCTCGACTGTTCCTTCGAGCCTTCTATCCACCGAGGTTCTAGCCATGCCTCAACCCCATTGAGTACAACTTTGGGCCTTGGCCCTCGCTACTAGCGGACAGATGTCAACAGTGAGGAAAAGATCAGTCATTTCTGGGCAATAATGAGCAAGTTTTGAAGAGTGTCCTTAGTCTCTCTGATCAGCAAGAGATAAGAAAGCTTGGCATCGAGGAATACTGTACATGTGACGGACACATAATTGGCCCAATATATGCACATTTCCCGTTCTAGAACGGGCACTAGGAAACACGCGCTATTTAATGTGCTCAATCTTCGTTACGAGTGAATCGAACTTGGGCTGAAGTTTTGAAAACGTAATGCATTCGTTGTGATTCGTTCAAGCCAGACTATTACGTCCATTTCAAAACACTTGAACACTGCTGGAAAAACCATAGATGCAGCACTTCGGCAGAGAAAGAATGCTTAGGGCCAGTTTCAGATGTGCTTTCAGCCTCGGCCCTCCATGGAAACATGAATCTGCGCTTGTCGATGTATTAGCATTGATCTTTTCCTCCATGGTCCTCCCTATGCGTCTCTTACACTCTTGATTACCCTGAGCACGAGCTGCGCCGTCGTAGTTATCCCACACAATGTCGCAAATCTCATCACCGCCAACACGCCTAAAGATGTCTAGGACGCTGGGCTACCTTCTGCTCCATTTCCCGATGCTCTGAAATGTGTCAAAATAATGAACCAATTCATCAGTAGCTTAGAGCTAAAATCACCCGCATCTCTCCTTGATCCAGAAAGGTAGTGCCAATGCTAGTCTAGCAGATAGTACCTCGAAGGGAGAATTTATTGAATGAACACATATATCTCAGTGGAAATTTGATATTCTGGACTGCGGTCTTCGCTGGCAGATGTCCAAGTGGAGCACCCCCTACACCTGAGACTGTAAGCATAGTGAACAAGCTTACCTAGTTCTCTTTCCGAGATGGATTGTTGCGCTTGGGGCATCGTGGAGCCCCATTGACGGTGCATTCCAGTGAGAGACCTCTTAAAGCATGCATCTTTGCCGAAATCGGTATAACTCAGTGGAGCTGGATAGAGCATAGCTTCGAACTGTACGGTTCATCCACCTCAGGCAAAGCATTTAGTGTCAAATGGACCCAAAAAGAGTCTCTTCTGATATCTCTGGCCAAGACACTGGAGACCAGTCTCTGTTACCAAGAACTTGCTCGTCGGCGATGAAGCGTGGGCAATACTCACTCTTGCCGAGCCCCCATTGTTATCATCCATGCGACCTTGAGGACAAGGGTCGAGCCAGACTCAAAGGAGGAAGTAGGTCAGCGCTGGTGATTAGCTGAAAGGATGGCCTACATGGTCTGCAATGGAGTCGATTCTTCATTAACGGTGAGCGTGGCATTCGGAACATATTAAGATATCTAACCATCGGCTTTTCCAGGCTTTCTCTGCCTCACAGGCGCAAGACCATCCACACTTTTGATACCGACCTCCTTAAATCAAGATCGAGTCCTCAATCCCATCACCGTCCAATGTTTACCAGAAGCTCATTCTGACGGCAAGCGCATTATCTGATACCGCGCTTATTGGCCAAGCAGAGCACTTCTTAGCGAGCCATAAATCAGCCTGGAGGAATAGAAGGAAAACTAACAACATGGCTCGCGGTCTGGCCTGTGTCCTCGCCATCTGTGGCTATTTCCTGCTTGTCCAGGCCATGGTGTCTTCCGGACGCGACGGCCATGGCCTCATCGGTTATGGCATCCAGATGTATTTCCCTGTCTGCGCCACTGCATGTCGTGATGTCCTCTCTGGAAGTCAGCTGAACTGCTCCGAGGTCATGGAGATGGACGACGTAGGAGGCATGGACATGGGTGGCGGCGACTATATGACTTCGCCCGATTGTTACGCCACCGATGACGCCTTCCTTCAGTCTGTAGCCTGGTGCATCCGGCAGCGGTGCTATGTCGACCCTAAGCGCCCGGACGATCTACCCGTGTGGCAGGTCGAACGATGGTGGCTTGACTACATCCCCGGAAGACTCAAAGTGCAGCCGGAGCCCAAAGAGACGTATCAGCAAGCATTGGCCAAGGTAACGACGCCGCCAACTGAGATCCTAGTCGCGGGTGAGCCACTGAACCAGACCATGCTGGTTTCCGATGGCGACTACTGGCCAGACCGAAATGCAGACAGCATCTTTGAAGTGGCCGAAGTTACTCACGAACGTTATGCGTGAGTCGGGAAGGAATGTGATATTGGGGCTTGCACGCTAATCTGTAATGCAGCCTCGTTGTCTTCTTATCCGGCGTGATCTTTCCCGTTGGCTTTTCGCTACTACGCTTTATTCCGCTCCCCAAGACCTGGTTGACACTCTTCAATGCTTGGGTCATCGATCCTCCGGCCATTGGCCGATACCATAAAGTCCCTATCTTCTGGGGTCTGACGAACATGCCAACCCGCGGCCAGGCACTCTTCATTGCCTACCTGACCATTATCAATATTGTTCTATGCGCTGTCGGTTACTCGTCGAGACAGCCTAACTCGTGGTTCCCGGACGGCACCAGCCAGGAGATCCTGTCGTACGTCACCAATCGCATGGGCATCCTCAGTTTCGCCAACGTGCCGCTGCTCATCCTGTATGCTGGCCGGAACAACGTGCTGTTGTGGTTGACGGATTGGAGTCACGAGACATTCCTGCTACTCCACCGCTATATTGCTGCCATCGCCACGCTACAGGCTGTCCTGCACTCTGCCATTTATCTACAGATATATTCGGCTGATGGCGAGCACGGCAGCGAAAGCAAGCTCCCTTATTGGTACTGGGGCGCCATTGCGACGATTGGCATGTCCATCCTGCTTCCGACGTCGATCTTGCCCTTGCGAACAATGGTGTATGAAGCCTTCTTGCTGTGGCATGTGGCCATCTCCGTGTTGGTGGTTGCAGGCTGCTACTTACACATCTATTACCGCTTCGACCATCAATGGGGTTACGAGGTTTGGATCTATGTTGCATTTGCCGTCTGGGGCTTCGATCGCGTCCTTCGTATTCTGCGACTGGCTCGAAATGGCGTCCGGTGGGCAATTATTTCTGTCATCGATGATGATTATATCCGCGTTGATATCGAAGGCGTTGCAGGTAACGGCTATGCATATCTATATTTCCCCACCCTGACGTGGCGAGTGTGGGAGAACCATCCTTTCTCTGTTGCGTCTACCTTTGTGCGCCCTGGGACGAGCGCGGAGGGAGCACAGCTGAACATCGACATTGAGAAGAAGGGGACTAACGCGGCCGAATCAGGTCCTTCTAGCGACGCAGATTCGATAAGCACGGCCCCTTCTGCACCTTCGAAGCTGACGCTTACCTTTCTTCTGCGCACCCGTAGAGGCTTGACTGCGCTGCTGCGCTCTCGTCAAAAATTACCAGTTCTCGTGGAGTCATCGTATGGCTCGCATCTCGATCTTTCTGAATACCCCAATCTAGTCTGCGTCGCCGGCGGGGTGGGAATCACTTCGGTACTGCCACTTCTACGCTCTCATCCCGGTCGCAGCAAGCTCCTCTGGGGGGTCCGCTCCAGCGGCATCGTAGAAGCCATGTCCACGGAGCTGAACGGTTTCGAAAAAGAAGTGTTTGTTGGTCACCGGATGGACGTCCTCAAGGAGCTGGAGAAAGTACTGTGCTTTTCCCGGGAAAATTCTGTCGTAGTGGTTAGTGGTCCAGCCAGCATGGCCGACGATGTGAGGAACGCCGTTTGTGCCATTGGCAAGAGAGGGAAGAAGGCGTCGGTAAAACTGGTGGAGGAGTCATTTTCATGGTGATCCCAGCTTTTGTCAAATTGGGAACAGCAAGAACGAATACGAAGGGTTAAAGGGTCTAACAGTTCAAGCGACGACGACTGTTTCTTAGTCCCATCTTTGTAGCATTCAGTGCTGCGATAGGACAAAGAAAAGGTCGGATTCCAAGTTCCGACGTAGTAGATGTCGGACTCGGATCCATGACTGAATGATCATTTACACGCAGAGAACAGCATTCACGAAATTAACGGCCTCTGCAAAAACAAAATAAATTTAACAAAATGCCATTTTATAGTGATCCTGTTCTCCATCTACAGGCTCGACGGCATGGTACCGTCGTGCTTGTGGATTTTCTGGTACTCATATTGGGAGCTATTCGCTTCGCCTCTACTTCTCGTGTCTTCAGCCGCACCTGTACGCGTGAACAGCGGTCGTCGTGCAAATTGAATATTCTCGAGTCATATCCGTCGCGCCGACCGCAACTGACTAAATGAGACTACAAAAGACCACACATGCTTGTTATGACAACTAGGAATAGAGCTGTCCATCCGCCGATCCAAGATGGCTGTAACTTTATGAGAACCGCGCTATTTACTCCCGAAAGTACGTTTCCGCCCGCAGTGCCATTATTGCAGACAATGGTCAAATTGTCCACACCTTCGCACCCCTATGGGTCACCTCCCTCCTCGAGATCCGTCGTGACCCTTGCCAATGTAACATTCGCAGTTGGAAACGTTTCTTCGGGGCACCCGATAGCTGCCACCACAACATATGCACCTTGCTCGTACGCCGTGCAATCGTCGACGACACAGGTCGTCACGTTCTCGTGGATGGCGGTGTTGACGCACAGAAGATTATTGATCGGCTCGGGGAAATATTCGAAGAAGCTGTTGTAGTAGTGCCTGAGACACATAGGCCATTCAATGCCGGACGAAGTGAAGTTGAAAGTCCTGTGGCTTGGCTCATGCTGTGGTTGACACCTGTTCCACTTGAGTCGTCATCGCCGTCGTGGCGAACTATGAGTCCAGACAAGAAAGGCGAGGATGCTGCCATCTCAGCGAAGATGGCTGAGAGTGTACACAAAACGAGGAGAAACTTTTGTGGCCGTATTTGATCCTAGCCTGTATGATTCGAGTTGAATAACTGGTTCTCTGTCAAAGGTTTTACTAACATAAAAGAGAAATGCACCCTCCTGCGTCGAATGCCTACTCTTATGGGGAGTCCTAGTGGCTTTCCTGGCCATCTACCCCCTACCAGCATGTCCACTATCACTTGGATCTCATGTCCAAACATTTTAAATGCCAAACAAACAAGCAGGGAGCGGAGTTTGAGTAAGTCCTGGGCACAAAGAAAGTCTTTCTGCTATATTCTTAAACTTCTTCGGCATGGAAAACTAGTACACTTCAAATGGATGCACTAATCGTATAGTTTGCTGGGCATGAGTCCTGGCAAAGAAATGTCGCGTCAATCAAGGGCCGAGTCATGAAACCATCGGTTCAAATACAAGTACGTAGAATCTAGACTACCCAGTAAATGGCCCTGCATTCTGCGTGTTTCAAAATGCTCCAGAACTTACCAAGTTCTCCCAGCTCGAACTTCTTCTCACTCCAACACTCGAACCTCCTCCTTCTTTTCTTTTAGTATTTAAGGGATTTTGATCGATCGCGAATTGGAACCTTGGTAGAGTCAACAGTAGTATTCAGGCCATGGTTGAGGATCGGAGCCCGATCAGTTATACGATCGATCGAGGATTGATGCCACCTGTAGAGAGGCACATTTGTACCTACTGACCGCAGGGCCCAGAAACAGAACCAAGCACCAGCGATGAGAATAATGAGGATCCGAGATACGAAGTTGAGGTAGGTGGTCCGATCAGTCCCTTAAGAAAGCAGCAGGCCACAGTCCCAAACAGGCCGCTAAGGCCAGACAAATGGCTTGTGTCAGGTTGAAAGGGTCAAAGCGGAAAGAGGAAGAAGTGCGGAAAATGGTTGATCCGTGTGAATCTGCGGAAGGAGCACCCCTCGCGGAGGCTCTTTCCGCTATTCCGGGGAAGCACCCAAAGCAGCCAATCAGATCGAATTGCGCAAAACTTCAAATGGATCGCCGTGGAAATTCCTCCGCGCTCTCTTTCCCACTTCACTCCATGCATCCCATCGTCAACCACCCTGATGCATTTGCGCATTGTTCCTCCTCTTCGCCAATGCGACAAGCATAGGTCAATTTAGCACATCGGCTGCGCTGACGACATTCGACTGGACACGATGAATTAGGAAGCCGTTGCCGAAATGATTGAGCATCAACCGTGCAAGCTTGCATCTCTTGCACCATGCCCATCCACTGTTGCTCATTTCAAGTTCTTTCTCAAGATCCAAAGGGCGTTCGTAACGGTAGGACTTCGGCGTCAAAGTTTTTTTGCCAATGGTTTGAAAAATGCAGGGGAGATATTCTCGAATGACTCGCATCAGCAGTATCTCCTTTGGCCTATAAATAAAAGTCAGCACCTCTGGAACCGTGATGAAAATGTACTCTACAACTTCAAGTTTCTTCACTTCTATTTTCTTCCTTCAGCATGGTACCTCATCCTTTAGACATCCTCTCGGCCGCGGAGACGAATGCTGCTCGTGACCTCATCCTCGACCTCCATCGAGATGCTGTTCTGAGCTTTCGTGAAATCTACTTGGACGAACCGCCAAAGGAGAAACTCGTTCAATACCTGTTGGCGGAACACTCTGGAAAGGATGCTGCTCCCATACCTCGACGTGCCCTAGTGCAGTACGATGTTATTGGTGCAGATAGGGTACCGCAATTCAACGAAGCTATTGTCGATCTCGACCAACAAAAGAGAGTCTCACATGTTGTAGTTGACAAGTCTCAACATGCGAGTTTGACACTGTGACTATCCCATCGATACGACCCTTGGAAACCCGCTAACAACAAAATCAGCTCCGAATTTGACACCCTGGTTGAAGTTTGCACATCGTCTCAGATGTTCAAAGATGTCTGTGCCGAAATCTCGCTTCCAGAGGGGTTTGAAGTCGTCGTCGAACCGTGGCCCTATGGTGGGATGTCCCCGGATGAGGAGAATCGACGCTATTTTCAAGGCTTGTGCTTCGCTCGAGACACGAGATCTGGCAACCCTGACTCGAATTTCTACGCCTATCCTTTGCCTTTCATACCTGTCATGGATGCACACAAGAGAGAGATCATCCGAATCGACCGACTAGCAACTGGTGGCAAAGATGATGGACTGGATGCAAAAACACACTCTAAGAATGTCATCGGCCATTGCAAGCACTCTGAATACGCGCCCGAGCTCCTTGAAAATGGCACACGGAAAAACCTCAAGCCTCTCAACGTTCTGCAACCAGAGGGTCCTTCGTTTTCGGTAGAGGGAGGGCTTATCGAATGGCAAAACTGGAGATTCCGCGTGAGTTTCAATCCTAGAGAGGGCGCCGTCATCCACGACGTCCATTTTGGCGGCAGAAGTGTGATCTACAGGCTGAGCATCAGTGAAATGACTGTTCCTTACGCGGATCCTCGTGGGCCCTTTCCTCGCAAGCAAGCATTCGACTTTGGTGATGGTGGAGCGGGAAATTGTGCCAATAACCTCTCCCTGGGCTGTGACTGTCTCGGAGTTATCAAATACTTCGATGGAATCGTCACCGGACCAGATGGCGCCGCCAAACCCGCACCCAATGTTATTTGTCTCCACGAACAAGACAACGGCATCGGCTGGAAGCACACAAATTGGCGGACAGGACGTGCTGTCGTAACAAGATATCGTGAGCTGGTTGTCCAGTTCATCATTACCCTCGCCAATTACGAATACATCTTCGCATACAAATTCGACCAGGCTGGTGGAATTACCGTTGAAACTCGCGCAACTGGCATTGTGTCAGTCGTAAATATCGATCCAGGAAAGACAAGTGCATATGGGAATGTCGTGTCACCCGGCGCATTGGCACAGAATCATCAGCACGTGTTTTGCGTTCGCATTGACCCTGCCATCGACGGATACAAAAACACAGTCTTGGCAGAAGAGTCACACCGTGTGCCAATCAACAAGAAAACGAATCCGCAGGGGAACTTCTACGAAGTTCGGCAGACTGTCATCGATCGAAGTCAGTGTCTGGACGCTGCCCCGCAGCACAATCGGGTGATCAAGATGATCAACAGGAGCAAAACAAATCCTATAAGCGGGAAACCAGTCGGGTACAAATTTACCCCAGCTGCGACACAATTGTTGCTTGCCGATCCCCAGTCTGTCCAATCTAAACGGGCATTGTTCGCACAGCATCATGTCTGGGTGACCAAACATCTAGACGGCGAGCTATATGCAGGTGGCAAATATACACTGCAGAGTCAAAACGAAATCGGTGGAGTTGCCGACGCCGTGAAGCGTGATGAAGTCATCGAGGACGAGGACGTCGTTGTGTGGAATGTGTTTGGGCTCACCCATAACCCTAGAGTGGAGGATTGGCCCGTCATGTAAGTTGCCATGTTTTATCCATCCCTATTTGGCCGTGCTCAAGTATCTAACGGTTCAGCAGGCCAGTTGAAATCCATCAACTACACATCAAACCTACAGATTTCTTCACCGAGAACCCAGCGATCGATGTTCCATCAACGAAGAACGAAGCATCCGTGTTGACAGATGGAAGTGTGCATCTTCGAAATGGCTGCTGTAGTACTGATTAGGATGTGGCACCACAAACAGTCCTGCCCTCCACAACCAGTTTCATCCTGTCTCTATGGACAGTATCAGGGACGTCTCTGAGAATCCTCGTCAACATTAAATGGATATGAATCTTGTGGTTTAGAGTGGTCTCAGGGACAGACTTAAACCAGTCTAGAGAGACCCTAGCATTGAACCCGGACTTATACCGGTACTACCTAGGATATATGTGTATGCCTCAAATTTTCTATACTCCGTATTACTTAGTATTATGGGTGCTAGTGATATAAGTGAGCCAGCTTAAGCTGAGTTCGCGCTAGAATCAGGTTAGCACTTGGTTACCTTACTTAGGCCAGCTCTCCATATAGAGAGAACGAGAGAGTAAAACGCAGCACCGAATTCGCTTTATTAGGTTTAGCTTATTTATGTTCCCTCTTATCTATTTAGGTTTAGCGCAATTCCCATCCGGTATAGCTTCTGCTTTAAGGCTGAGTGCGGAATATAAGTAGGTACTACCCTAATAATCTCTAAAATGTCATAGAAGATCCCGACTCTCGGTTACAGTTGAGCTTTAGGTTGATTCTGAGTTTCTGGAGACAACTTAGACTGCGGCTTCCGATCAATTGGGGAATTTTGCACAGAGCTTATCTTGCCATCTTACCAGTTTCAAGAGTGCAATCATGAGAATATTGAGTACTATTTTCTGGACGAGACCTCGAATTCTTGTCAACAGAGCGACGGTAAAAGTTCTCCATGTCAAACGAGGGGGCCGGCATTGGACTTGCGATTGCGTCACGGACAACCGAAGACACGTTCTCAAACAATCCCAGTAGTGTGTAACCGGTAGCCACCGTGATGGGGAACCGACCAAGGTCAGCAAAGTGAATAGGAAGATGACAGAATACTACTAGTACTAGTACTAGTATCAAATGTACTTGGACAAACTTTGGGAGCGTCTCCCAGACTCCTCCGACAGGATGCGCGATTTCATGAACCGAGGCGAATGTAGATGCAGTGGGGCTCTCTGTAGACATTTCAAGGTGCGCTGTATGGGCTGCCAGGCCGGGGAACTGCACGGCCTGGGGAGCCGTCCAGGACGCGAGGCTAGAAGAATCAGGGGTGTTTGTTCACTCTTCGGCAAATCTTCGGCACTTAACCCGTGTGTACACCAGTGAGTGCACTATGAAATAGTACTACTGGGTACGGAGTCCGTTATTCTGTTCCTTTTGATTGATACCATACCAAGGACACCTTAACTACTACCATATCCTACTTTTCCCAAAGTACTAGTAGAACAGTGCGTGGAACCCGGCCGCAGGAGTCTCCGAACTCCACTCGGTTGGCAAGTAAGATTCCTGCACAATCCGCCACATCTAACCAGTGACACCACCAGCATGCATAGTTCCTAGGGGGGAGGGCTTGGCCGTACTGGGTAGATGATGTTTTTTTCTTTAATCGCCGCTGGGCGTGAAGATTCCCAAGAGATTGCTAATGTATAGTATTTACATCGGGTGAGGTAGTGGTACCAGAGACTCTTTTCTATTCGCTTGCACTGGCACCTTCGTATTAAATTACTATCATCGTCGTCATCATCATCACCACCGTTCTGAATCTAGCTCAAGAAGAATGTCTTCATCGCCCTCGGCTCCACGGTCGCCTCGAACGTCCCACTAATCGGCGTCTGCCCGACCATTGTCACATTGTGCTCGTTATCCGTCAGATAGGCCGTGGCGGTGGAGGCATTGATCCCGCTCAGATTGATGGTCAGCTGGTAAGGGAAGTGCGCCTCGTTGATGACGGGGATGGCGACGGTGCCGTTCACGTTGACGTAGGCACTGACATAGACGTTCTCGGCGCTACTCGTCGCCCCGATGCGCACGGAGCCCGGGCGCGCGAAGCGGAAGTACGACGCAAACGCCCATAGGCGGGCCGACACGAAGTAATCGTCGTAGTCGAGCCTGATCAGGGCGTTGTCGCCCGTCGTGTTCTGCGCGCACCACCAGTGCGTGTACCCCGAGGTGTCTGAGTTCACGAAGGCGTTGTGCATGTACATCGCCCATTGGAATCCCTCGCTTGGCAAGACAGTCAGGTCAGTTGGGGGGTTTCTCGGAAAGAATGGTCAGAAGAGGTTCCTTACGCGAGCTGTCCAGACACATCCCAGTTGGCGTTCCATGGTCCAGAGCCCTGTTTGTTGTCAGTCTAGGTCTTTGACGGGTTCTCTTTACCCACATCAGCCCACTCGGTCATCAGATTCGGCTTTCCATTAGAGTTGAACGGTCTCTCAGGATTGCTTTGATAGTTGTGCCATGTCTGGATGCTTTAGCCCTGTCTTCAGCCGCCAGCGAGAAACTTACAGCAACATCAAAGAGATCCGCACCGCCTGCTTGTTGCAGCTCGTACAAAATGTTCCTCTCCTGTCGAGCACCAGTGGCGTCGCAGCACGCAACACTGATATTGGGAAAAGCCGCTTTTGCTGTCGGATACAAGATCTCCAGGAAATCCTTTGCTTGATAGCCGTCGGACTCCATGCAAGCATACGTGACAGGATTGAAGTCCGGTTCGTTGTAAGCGCCGAGTAGTGAGACTTCAATGCCTTCCTCCTCGTAGAACTTGACGTATTGCACCAGATAGTCGGCATAGGCTTGTCTCCAGTCACCACTGCAGTTGCTGCTGCCTCTAACGCCGCAGATGAGACCGCCTTCATCTTCTGTGCCAACTGTCTTCATACACCCGGGAGCAGACCAGGCATCGGCATACACATAAATGTTGGGGTTGTACTTGAGTGCCGTCTGAGTAAGCTGCAGTTGGCATGTATCGTTTTCGTCCCAGACATAATTGAACGGTCCTGCTGGGGTTGGCGGGCAGACTGGGAGAATGGATGCGACGTCCCCACGAATATGACCTGGAGTTGACCCGATATCGTTGCGAACAATCGACAATCCCCCGATGTTCTCATCAAAGAGAATTTGAGTGACGAGTTCTTGCTTTGCTGGAGAGAGTCCAACGGAGCCGAACTGTTGACATGCAATGCCAAATGCACCTGAACATCCACCACCGATCATGGTCTGATACTTCTGGAATGCATTGACCGAGATGGCCGCCGAGTATGTAATGTTTGGGGTGTAGGTCCATGCAGAGATGCCAGCGGCAAAGGCAGCGACGATGAGGTTCCTCATTTTGCTCCCTGATATTGTCCAACGATCGTCTGGCCAAGCAAGGTCCCATGCAGGTACAGCATATGTACTTTTTCATCTCCCCGCACGCATCGCTCCGTACGGATCGTAGAGCCCCCAGATCGTCTTTTACCCGGGGCGTTTTGATCTGTAGCATTTACCCGGCGGCCATTCTCCGACCTGCCACCAGCTGCTAGGCAAGTAACCAGGTACTGTCGCCAAAATCTATCCTTTCTCGCTTGCGTGCCCCTACAAAGTCGCAGAAGGATGACGACAACGAACATTTGAACCGGGAACCATAGTGTCGTGTGGATGTTGCTGCTGTATTCCACTCACTCCGCATTCGGGGTTTTTAGCCAATTTTCTACGGCCATTAGTAATACTGTAGGATTCGGACCTTGTAGAAGTCGGTGTAGTAACAAGATAACACACGATGGAAGTGAATGCAATGGACGTACGACAAGGGTAATGGGTAAAAGGCAGGATATGATGGAAAATGGGCCGCATCATTTGCCGATGTCTTCCGAGTTGCCGAAGCAACTGGAGTATTATCCCCAAGGCTCTCACTATTTATGCACGACGTAGGTAGATTGGTGTTCAGCGACGAAAGAGTCCCTAGCCTTGCCACTTGTTGGACCAAAGGTCTGTGAGAGCTTGTTTGATTCATCGGAGAGAAGAAATCTACATGTGATGGAGGAGGCTTAAATACCAGCCTGTGGCGCTGTGCCAAGAGCCATACCTACTACTGGGTAGTCTAATCAGGCTAGATCCAACTCTCCTCGGCCCAGGTGTCAGGTGACCAGAGAGCGGGGTTCAACTTCGGCTCAGCCTCGGCATAATTTGATCAGGCTGCTCAGGCCTGCCAGTTTCTTGTCAACACCATATCCTCAATTTTCAAAGATATCAGCTCGACAATCGCACAGCGACGGCGATAGCCCCGCGCAGGGAGTACAACTTCCTCCGGTCAGATTTGCTCAATTTGTGAATGGAATGCTGGAGTTGTTCGAAGCTAGGCCTGACCAATCGAATATCTTGCATTCTCACACGTCTGGGGTGATTAGAAACGGCGAAGGATCATAGGTATTTCATATGAAGTAAAGGCATTGCAAGATCAGACTGCCTTCATTGCAAATGATCTCCCCACGCTCGTAGGCGACAGTTCGTTCTGGATGGGTACTGACGGTAGATTAACGCAGCGAGGAGGAGGTTCTGTCTATTGTCGCGTTCTTTCCTACAATACTCAAGATGGCTCAACGGACCATTGTAGTACGTGAATCCGACGAACTATACGGGTGTTGCATGAAAGCCGGCGAAGGCTTTCAAAGCTGCGATGACTTCGTTGAAAGATTGCATCCACATAGTGTCGGCCATCGCGATGACGTTTACGATTAGTCGTACCTACAGAGGTTATGGACATTGCAGGGGTACCTACTGTTGCACACTGTTCAGTTTGTTGTTGGGCGCCGCCGCCGCAGTATGTGCAATATACACACTGACACTTGACGAAAAGTCTGCAAGATGCTGATTACTGCCATTAGACCAACCACGGAAGCGATTGAGAAAGGACAGGCCCGACAATTTGATCTTTTACAGAAGACAGGTTGACCGGGCTGTTATCAGTGACTCTCTCGGCATCACAGAGCGCCTCAATTAACTAATTTCCTCCATCTACTTCGCACAGACGAGGAAGATATACACACGGGCTACTTTCTCCAAGTTAATCTGGTGTCCCATAGATCAGCGACCATGCCTCAATCACCATGGTATAGATACCCCAGGGAGACGATCAAAATGTCGTTTGGGGAAATCTATTGTGATCTCTGTCAACAGGCTGCCTATTCTGGCCATCCGTTTCCATGCCCGTGGACAGATTCAATGTTAGACCCCGAATTGGGTGAACCTTTCCAAGGCTGGCTTCCAAGCCCACATCAGCCGAGACCCTCATGCTCTGGAGACTTTCTAAAGCTGATGGGTCATCAGATACTGAAGGTACCGAACATTTCTTCCCCAGCCTCGTCGGATGTACAGCGTCAATAGTCAGCGTCTGCCGAGTGCGTGGGAAGGCCCAACGAGAAACCAGTTCGGCAAGGACCATTTCCTTGTCGACCCCACGACAAAGGTACCAGTAGAAATACTGCCTGATTTTCTGTTGGAGAAGAGGACACATGAGCAGTAAAATCTAATGGTTTGTGCTTTGTATGCCGGCTTTTGCCAGGTTGTAGGACCAGGTCAAATTGCGTTGGAGATAATGCCGTTATGCACTGTAGGCTGAGCCAGTTCAGTCTGTTGATATAGGATCTTTGAATCCCACTGCATTTGTTTAATAAAAATGTCCATCAACAGGGTATTAGATATAGGCTATATACGAAAATAGGATAGTAATATATGAGACTTATGATGCTCCATATAACCCCAGGCTTCAAAGAACAGCTGGGAAAGAGGCAGCTACGTTGCTAGTCGCGTAAAGGGTCTTCTAGGCGGCAAATTTGGCCGGAGAACCGCCAAATACAGCGCTGGCACCTAGGCAGCGTAAGACCGGGTTGATGAACACGGAATTAGATCCTTTCGAGCATTCAGATGAATAAAGATATGGTAAGTAATGCCAGAGTTAAATGTCGAGGGAATTGTAGGTCTGAGTTGGTGATAGAGCTTGAAGGTATACCCTGTTTTATAACAGAACGAAAAAGACAGGCGCTGGATCTTTTCGGCCAGTGAGGGTGAAAGGCTTTCGGTATCTCTTGTTGGGATGAAAGAATGCGGAGAGATGAGTTCCCAGGATGAAGGGTAGAAGAGGTTCAGAGTTGGTGACCGAGCAAATAAGCGGGGACCTGCCGTGAAGATGTTTCTTTGATCCAACTTTGCCTACCAGCTCCGAGGTACCTGGATGTAAATGTTGAATCCCCAATATTTGGGTGGTCATGGCAATCAGTCTGTAGAAGCCTTGATCTCGTGGTTGACAAAATGCAGGAACTGGCCGGGGGGGACCCATCTTTTTGTCGACAGCCTTGCAAATGGTCTTTTGAGTGATAAAGCCGCGTCCGCATTCACCAAAATTTTGCCAAAGTCCACGACCTATTGAAATACTTCTTGACCAGAGCCACCCACCTTGATCAGTTCTGGTAAAATGGACCGGAGGCATGTGAGAACCCTTTTCTGTCCATGCCCCTTCCCGACTCAGGTAAACGCTCCCAAGCATGGTGCAACGGCATATGTGGTTTCATGGTTCGAGACCGACTCCAGAGTTGACGATCAATGTCGATATTTCCGAGAGGTCAGATTTCCATTTCCCGTGGCCAATCTCCGTCCTGGAGGCTTTTCAGATCGATAAGCTATCCGTCGTCCTTCAAATATTAAGTCTCTGATATCCCTCGACGTACTAGATCTAAGATTTAACTTGCTTAGGGAAATGATGACCGTCGAACGGGTCTCAACCCATCAATACCTTCTGTCCGTTTGCGTCACGGGATGTGGGGTAAAGGTCGAGGATGGAGAACAGAGTGGAATTTTTTTCCCTCTCCTCGTTCCCAAACGAACCTTTTGCAGGGCTGACAGCATAACCGCAATGTGATCTGCGGCTTCCGCGTCAGAAGTACTATCCGCCTGAGAAGAAACGCAAAATAATAATTCATCACTGATCATCCCTTTCTTGGCCACGAAGTCTAGCGCCCACTTCGAATCGGGGAAACGCTAATACCACCACTTTCCCCAAAAGCGCTCTTCTTGGGATTCCAACAAGCCCCACCATCATCAGGCTGCGCGGAGTAGGAGACGCATCGAGACTCGGGGCCCCCTGTCAGGCGAAAACGAAGCTTGGTGGACTTCAAATATGAGGGTTTCGAGAACGACGAGTTTGCTTGTTCTAGGACCTTCAACGGCGGCGAAAGCGTCTCCTCCCCTCTCGTACGACGAGTTCTCAACATGGGTGAATGGCCCCTTTGGTCGTTTTGTACGCAGCATCCCATTTTCGGGATTGCTCTATTAGGTGCCCTGGTCCTCGTTGCAGCCTGGAGGTTGAACGAACATGTCAAGGCTCGGAGATACAAGTTACCGCCACGTATACCAGGGATACCTATATTCGGCAACACTTTTCAACTCCCTGCGCTGAAGCAAGGGATATGGGCAATGGAAATGGCACAGAAATATGGCGAGATGTAAGGACTACGCCTTTGACTGGGGGATATTGAACCGGAGACTGAGCGTGATCAGGTTCACTTGCAGTATTGGCGGTAAGACATGGGTGTTTCTGAACTCATCACGCACGGTCAACGACTTGATGGAGAAGCGTTCATCCATCTACTCTTCGCGTCAATACATGCCAATGGCGTCTGGTGTGTTATCGGGCGACAATCGAATTCTGCTCATGCCATATGGAGAGCGATGGCGCATGATCCGCCGGATTATGCATTCAATCCTCAACAAACAGAATTCACCGGTCTTTGCACCTTTCCAGGACATCGAGTCCAAACACCTTCTTTACGACTTTCTCCACCATCCGGAGCTGTGGTATTCTGCCACGCAGCGGTTCGCCAACTCCGTCATCATGAGTGTGGTGTTCGGCAAGCGCATGGAGTTGGAGGACCCCAAGATCCGAGAGCTCTTCGAGACATCCAATGCCATCATCGAAGCGATTCAACCTTCCGCGAACCTCGTGGACTCTCTGACCTTCCTGGAAAGGCTCCCAAAGCCCTTGCAATGGTGGCGGCCAAGAGGGGAAGCAATGTTCCAAAAAACCGTCAAGTGAGCAATCTTGCACGTAAGCGATATGCAGCTGACTTGGATGCAGCATCTACAGGCGCGAGGTAGAGGAATTGCAGCAGAAAATGAAGAACGGGACAGCGCGGGATTGCTTTGCGACCAGGTTTCTCAAGGATCCCGAAACCAAGAGCTACGGGCAAACGCAAACATATTTCGCCCTGGGATCACTCATGGAGGCTGGAAGTGATACCTCTCGCATGACGATCAGTCAGGTGATGGCAGCCGCGGTCCTCGACAAGCGGTGGGTTGAAACAGCTCGGGAAGCCCTCGACAGAGTCTGCGGGAGAAACGCGGAGCGTCTGCCGACGTTCGAGGATCGGATCGATCTGCCCTACATCACCGCGACGGTCAAAGAAGCATTCCGATGGCGACCGTTTGCGGAGATTGGAGTGCCGCACATGCTCATCCAAGACGACGAGTATGAGGGCTACAAATTCCCTGCTGGGACGTTGTTCACGTGGAATGCGACGGCGATCGCGATGGATCCTAGGGAGTACGAGCAGCCCGAGCGATTCTGGCCGGAACGTTTTCTCAACGATGACCTCGACCATGTTCTGAAAGGGCACTGGAGTTTTGGTCCAGGTACGTCTTTGATCTCTTTGAAGAGAATGTGCGGATAGATATTCACCTCGGGGAACAGGTCGACGAGTATGCTCTGGATACAATGTGGGAGAGACCAACGTCTGGATTGTCGTGGCACGATTGCTGTACTGTTTCGACTTTGAGGGCGTTCCAGTGAGTCGGCACCCTCTGGCTCATGAAAATAATACTCTTCTCCACACTGACACAATTCGTTCACGAACAGGGGAAGCGTTTCGACTCGTTTCAGGTCAACTGGGGGGAACATCGGTTCGCGCCCTTTGATGTCTCGATCAGAGTTCGGAGTCCTCAACACGCGGCCTTGATCGAAAGAGAGGGCAGAACGGCGGTGGACACAAAGTACTGAGTGACGATCCTCGACCCCTTGTGCATGGTTGCTGGTTGGAGTAGAAAATACTCCGTACTCCGTACAGCCTAGCCAGGGATTGCCCCCCTAATTACCCCACATATTCCTCTTTCCTATTTCATATTCAATGCGGGCTTCCACTGTGGAGAAGTATAACCCCACCCCGCAGGGCAATGGAATGGAGCATTGGTATTGAGAAGGTGGCACTGTCAGGGCATACTTGAATTGCCGGAAACAAAACGTCTCCTGAGATTCCAGGAGTAGTTGGAGTATCGTTTGCCCCTTAATTATAGACGCATGACTTCGAAAACTCCTCGATTTTTGAACTGAGCGTATTCAAACGTGGGTGGACCAATCATCCAGCAGACCTCGCGGCGTCCTTCTTTCGAAGCATCCTGTGGGGCTGTGTATCACTGGCTAGGTGGCGCCACTTGTTCGAAGCATCCGGGCAATACAAGTCTGGCCCAGGCGCAAGATATATTCCTGGATCCCTTCCAATAGTGCATGTAGCACAACAAATAGAGCAAGGAGGGTGGCAGTGATCTGCAAGACGTCGTGTACAATGGGCAAGCAAACCCCTGTTAACAAGGTTGGTAGTCGACTGCCCCATGTGTAAGGCCTGCTTTCATCTGCTGACGAGCATATCGAGATCATCATCGTCGGTGCTGGTCCATCGGGACTGCTCCTAGGCATTCTTCTCGCTAAGCAAGGAGTCAAAGTTCAGATCCTCGAGGCAGCCGGTGAGCTGGACAAGAATCCTCGAGCTGCTCACTATGCCCCTTCAGCAGTCTACGAACTGAATCGCGCCGGAGTTCTCGAGGACGTCAAGGCACAAGGAATCCATCCTGATGCTGTCTGCTGGCGCCACCCCGATGGGACCTTCATCGCGGGCATTCGAAGCCGGTTTGACATTGACTTTCCCATGGTTTGCCTGCCTCTAGATCAACTCGACATCATCCTTCTCCAGCATTTCCTGGCCCAACCGGGGACCGAGGTTTTGTGGAACCACAAAGTCGTCTCGATCGACCAGGATGAGAACGAGGCACGAGTTCACGTCGAGACTGCGGAGGGAAACAAGACCTTTGGCGCCGACTACATCGTCGGTTGTGATGGGGCGAATAGCCAGATCAGGCGATCGCTTTTTGGTGACTTGAATTATCCCGGGGAAACGTTACAAAAGCAGATCATAGCCACCAATGTGAGTTCGTTGACTGGATGAAGAGCATAAAACTGACTAGAGCCACGAGGTATATTACGACTTCCATAAATTCGGGTACTGGGACTCGAATTTCATCATCGATGAAAACGACTGGTATATGGCAGCCCGGATCACTCAAGATGGGCTGTGGAGAGTGACTTATGGCGACGTATGGGGGCTGTCGAACGAGGAATATTTGGCTAGACAGCCCGAGCGTTACGAGAAAATCCTGCCTGGGAATCCGAAACCGGGAGATTATAAGCTCGTCAGCGCGAGTCCGTACAAGCTACATCAGCGATGTGCGGATTCGTTCAGAGTTGGAAGATTTTTGCTCGTCGCCGACGCAGCTCATTTGTGTAACCCATTGTAAGTCCTCCCGCCTGGCAGAAAGTTTAGGCTGACATTCTGGCTGCAGCGGTGGTCTTGGATTGACTGGAGGAATCGCCGACGTAGGAACCTTGTTTGATGCTTTCATGGCGCTGAAGGAGGGAAAGGCAGACGATAGCATTCTGGACAAGTATAGCGAGGTTCGCCGCAAGAAGTGGGCGGAAATTATTGACCCTATGTCTCGAGCGAATTTCCGACGCGTCTGTCTCGATGAAGCCGAGTCAGAGAGAAAGGAGTTCTGGGATCTTTGCAAGAAGGTGGAAGAGGATGAGGAACTGGCCCGACAGATGGCACAGGTGAGTGAAAGATGTTTTCTGATTGGGGTAGATAGCCATGCTGATGTGTCTCAGGGAACGAATGTTTTGCGGGAGGATTTTCGAGAATATTTGACAGCTGGTGCGGCGTAGACAGAATCGACAATGTGGATGGAAATGTTGACCAACATTAGATTGGTTGATGATACCTTGACCCATACACATCGCAGTAGGAGTATTCCTGGTACTTTGGGAGTCGTCACGATTAGAGTAAATCTCGAGAAAACTTCCCCTTGCCTCTCCGAGTAGGAGTGTCGTTCGAAGGGGATTTCAGAGCGAACTCCAGCCTCTGCTTGCATGCTATGCGAGGATTATCTGTGACAGTTGACCTTCTCGGACGCATTGACCAACCTACATGAGCGTTACTGAACCCGTAGAAATGATCCCTGGATACACCACAGGCATCTTGATTTACATGTTTTGGATAACTAAGCGTTGAATCATAGACTGGGCTGAGCACGCCGAGATTCATATGTTATTCGACGTCCATTGGATGGAAGAGGAAGCCGGCGAGCGTGGGAAGCTGCAGAGACAGCGACATTGGTTTGGTGCCATCAGCAACGAGAGGACATTGGAGCATTTGTGGGGGCGTCGTTCATATGAGATAGCTGTAGTAGGGCAAACACCACGTCCTTGTTGTAAGGGGACATGAGGAATAAATATGTCCATGGATGTCCTGGATGTCGTAGCATATGTGGTGTGGTGATTGGTGTGTCGTCATTGCTTGGCGGAGACACTCAATATCCCTGACCTCCCCCTCAGACTCGCTGCATGCAGTGGAGTTGCCTGGCTGGCCTGTAAAGAGGCTGCCTGCCACCTCTCATTCGTTCTGCAACCCAAACTCGGAGTGCGGATATCGTCGAAGCTGTCATTGCTGTTCTCCTCCTCACCATTTTGCTGTTAAGCAAGCTGGATTCAATGTCTGCGGATTGAGAATCGCTCTCGAGTCCGCAGTTTCGCGCACCTAATCCCACACCAACGTCGACCAGATTGCACCAGATTGCCGTCTCGATCGAACTCGTCACCATCCACCTCACTTAAGACTCCATTGACGACGCACCGACCTCATATTCTCACCCATCGCAATTGCAATACCAGACTTGATAAACTTTTCGCGACAGCTTATTGGTCTTTTCGCCGAGTCCTCATTACAAAGTTCGTCGGGATATCTATCCGAACCGCCACAGTTATCAAACAAGAGCTGGCACACACTCCGTTTTGTGGCGGGTTAGGGGAGGATGGCGGACTTTACACTCGTACCCAGTGGGCATGGTAGCAATTACACTGGCATGCTGACGAGGAGCATTGTTTTCTCTGGAGCTCTTTTCGTCTTTCTTGCAGGCATGTGCATCTGAATCACTGATTCCTGGGCCAAAGCAACTGACCGCTGGCCCAGCGTCTGGAATGACAATAGCCTCGATTGCGATCCCTGACTGGATAGCATTTGATGGGAGCACAGTGAGTGGGCATGCCCGAGTATCAAGTCGTGTCTGACGAGTGAACAGAATCACGGAACGTCGATACGGTACAGCTACGGGCTGCATCGAAGGTGCTCGAATACGAACCTGCCTCCTTCCAATCTCTCACACACCACTACCTCCAACTGGCATTGCACACAATTTCCCCGGTACGAGGACTGCCGCGGTGATGACCGATACTTCTGCAGTATGTGGAGATCCGTGGGCTTTTTGATGTCCTTTGCGGTGGTGCTGGAGGGAATGACACTTGCCGCATTTGCAGTCCTGCTTGTGGGTGGGAAGCAGAAAAGAGAACAAGGCTGGGGCGTCCTCACAATATTGGTGGCGTTGGCAGCATTTGTTCAGGCCATTGGGATGGCGTTGATGGTGAGAAGTGGCCCGCTACATGTCGCGACTTTCAATTGACCACCACAACAGGCATATTTGTACGAGAATGACGAACGATTTTTTTCAGGCTGGTATCTCGACAAGAGTTGGACCATGTGTACGATTTCCTGGAGTTTTGAAGCATTATGCGCGGTTGCGATTACCCTGGCAGCAGTGACGCTGCCGAGTGAAGGAGGATACGAGTTGATTCCAGATCATGGATAACCCAAGGGCAATAAAGGTCGGCACAAGCCAGTATTGAGTGATGGTTGAAGATCTGATCGCTATGTATCCTCAGCGCTGGTGGAGCTGGAGGGGGATGTTTCTCTGACTACACATGCTTGATGTTATTACCTCGGGTTTGCATCTATGGGAATATACATGGGTCCCTCGAAAGCTATTACATACCGGCTGTACGAGGTAATATAGAGTAAAAATGGCGCTTGTCGTCGTTAACCGGGACACGGTGTTTGAGCGATTTGACAGCCTTTGCCGCGGAACGAAACGGTGTTGCGAAAGTCGGTTACATATCCGCCGGCCACCGCAGGGGATCCGGAGATATCCAAGATATCCTAATTAACATGTGCACAGGCGGTGAATGGACACAGAAATGGACGACCCCAGGCGCCGCTTTTGGCTTCCGTCTGGCTGCACGTGATCATGGATAAAACATTCGCCAGACTTTATACCCAACTTGGTTTGGCTTGACCAGGAGTTGTTAAGGCGGCCACTTCCCCCGACATGGAGAATCCGGAGTTTCAATTGCGCCTTGAGAGGGGCTTAGTCAAATGTCGAATAATCCCGTCGAGCATATTTCTCTTGCATGTGCGGTACCTGGCTGATCAGTGCCCAATTAGGCTCGTGCACGGTTTTAAATAACCCTGGGATTGCTGGTGGCTCGGGGGCTCTGGGGGCTGTGTCCACATGAATACCCAACCCGCCGAGGCTGGGTTCTATTGGCGGGCCGATAGTTGATCCGTTCCGTAGATGCCTGGTATCCCGCTGGTGTCACTCGTTCGCTCCCCCTTTGTTCCTTGTTTCCTTGTCCCGCAGCCATGTCACAGAAGCTTCAACAGATCACTCTTGCCACGAAGGGAAACAAGTGCACCTTAGCCAACCGTGGGACGTGGGACAATTCATTCATCATGTCAATCGTTGCGAAACGTCAGATGCCAACAGTAAAGTCTCGACGGTTGAAGCCGAGATGGAAACTCAATAAATACGACACGCCAACAGCTCTCTCGGAGCTCCGTCGACTTCCAAGGTGCTTCAGTACCCTCGTCACCTCGACCCTACTTCACACTCGACCTGTCCACGTATAAATCTGCTTGTCTTTGATTCAATCCTACTCTTTCCTTCTTGTCGACACTGGTTGAGACACTGGCAACATGTCGACTCCTATTCCTTCGCCTCCCGGAATCCCAATTCTCGGCAATGTCCTGGACATTGACCCAAATAATGGCAATCAAAGTCTCCGCCACCTGGCCGACAAATACGGTGCGTACCTGGATACACCCTAGAGCTCATACGAACTGAAGGCTTTGCTAACATTCGCTTTGAAGGCCCCATCTTCAAGTTGAACCTCTTTGGTACCGAAAGATACATCATCAGCTCGGTCGAATTGCTTAACGAGATTTGCGATGAAAAGCGCTTCTGCAAGTCTTTGTCTGGCCCACTGGAACAAGTCCGGAACGGAGTCGGAAGTGGGCTTTTCACGGCCTATCATGGGGAGCATGATTGGGAGGTCGCTCATCGAACGCTCGTGCCTGCGTTTGGTCCAATCGGTATTCATGACATGTGTATGGCCTCTCCACCCACTGAACTTATTGCAGCTGCTGATGTTTCCAGATGATGAGATGTACGACATTGCGACCCAGTTGGTCGCCAAATGGGCGCGTGTTGGGCCCGACCAGAAAATCGCAGTCACTGATGATTTCACTCGACTGACCTTGGATTCCATCGCGCTGTGTGTCATGGGCAAGCGCTTCAATTCCTTCTACTCGGAGAAAATGCACCCCTTCGTCGATGCAATGGTGGGGTTCTTGCTGGAATCTGGACGCCGGGCTTCACGGACGAGAATCGGGACATTGCTCAACAGAGGGAGCGAACGGCAGTACTATCAAGACATTGACACGATGAAAACAGTTGCCAAGGAAATGGTTGAGTACCGCAGAGCGAATCCAGTCGACAAGAAGGACCTGCTCAATGCCATGCTTTTCGGAAAGGACCCGAAGACGGGAGAGAAGATGTCGGAAGAAAGCATCATCAACAACATCATTACTTTCCTCATCGCAGGACATGAAACAACCTCGGGATTGCTTTCCTTCACCTTCTACCAGCTTTGCAAGAACCCTGATGCCATGCGCAAGGCTCAGCAGGAGGTCGATTCCGTGGTCGGTAAGGGTCCAGTGACCGTCCAACACATGTCCAAGCTGCCATATATCGAAGCAGTTATGAGAGAAACTCTTCGACTGACTCCTACCGCCCCTATGTTCTCAGTCAGACCACTGGACACTGTTGCTGGACCTGTGGTTCTTGCTGGAAAATACACCATTCCACCCGGTGCCTCTATAGGTGCTCTGCTTGCGAAAGTCGGACGTGATCCAGTGGTCTATGGCGCGGATGCCGAAGTGTTCAAGCCGGAAAGAATGTATGGGGAGAATTTTGCAAAGCTGCCACCCAACGCTTGGAAGGTAAGTAGGAGCCCAACTGACCAACTTGTGGGCAATTGTTGACTATTCGCCAGCCGTTCGGGAATGGAGCTCGTGGATGCATTGGGCGGCCTTTCGCCTGGCAAGAGGCGATTCTGGCCGTCGCTCTCATACTTCAGAACTTTAACGTCAGATTTGACGACCCGTCGTATCAGCTTCAGATCAGGCAAACCTTGACCATCAAACCAGACAACTTGTTCCTGCGAGCCACTTTGCGCGAGGGTATCGATCCGGTGAAACTCGAGAGGAAGATGTACGCAGGCCTTGAATCTGAAGACGCTCATGAGAAGGAACGAAGTGCTTTGGCTAAGAAAGTTGGTGCCGCGGGCAAACCGATGTTGATCCTCTACGGGTCAAATTCGGGCACTTGTGAAGGTTTGGCGCAGGGTTTTGCCAGCAGTGCGGGCAATCGGGGTTTCAATGCTACCGTGAAGTCTTTGGACGCTGCCGTCGACCAACTCCCAAGCAACCAACCAGTCGTCGTTATCACCTCGAGCTACGAGGGCAATGCTCCCGATAATGCCGCAGGGTTCGTGGAGTGGCTCAAAACGGTGGACGCTGCAAAGGTCAAGAATGTGCAGTTTGCCGTCTTTGGTTGTGGTCATCGCGACTGGGTGACCACTTTCCAGAAAATCCCCAAACTGATCGACGCCGAGTTGGCCGCAAAAGGAGGGAAACAAATTGCGGAGCGCGGACAATCCGATGTCGCCGAGGGAAATGTGTTTGACGATTTTGACGCCTGGCAAGACGAGAAGCTCTGGCCTGCTCTATGTGTTGATGCTGGTGCTGATGACATTTCGGAAGCTCTAGACATGGAGATCAGCACCACCGCTCGTGCCTCGCATCTCCGGCATAATGTGCAGGAGGCATTGGTTCTCGACACCGAGTTGTTGACTGACCCTTCTGTCCCAGAGAAGCGGCACACAGAGTTCAAATTACCAACCAACATGACATACGAGGCTGGAGATTATCTTGCTTTGCTGCCAGTCAACAGCATCCAAACTATCTCGAGGGTCCTTCACCGATTCAGTCTGCCTTGGGATGCATTCATGACGCTGGCCAAAGGCGCCCATACCACCATCCCAACGGAAACGGCCATTGCAATCTCGGCAGTGTTAGGGGCATATGTGGAGCTGAACAATCCAGCCAGTCGTAAGCACATTGCAACGCTCGGCAAGTACACCAAGGACGACTCGGTTCGTAAAGAGGTTACAGCGATCACCGAGCCCTTGTCGGTTCTGGAAATCCTGGAGAAATATCCGAGCATCGAGCTCCCGTTCGCCGTCTACCTCTCGATGCTGACACCGATGCGCATCCGCAACTATTCCATCTCATCCTCGCCACTTCAAGATCCAACCAAGGTCAGCATCACTTACTCCGTGGTCGGCGCGGGCACGAGCCACGCTGGCGTAGCGACGAACTACCTCAAAAACCTGCAGCCGGGCTCCCGGGCGCAACTGATGATCAAGAAGTCACATGCGAGCTTCCATCTGCCGCTGGACACCAAGGCGCCCATTATCATGATCTGCGCCGGCACGGGCCTGGCCCCGTTCGTGGGGTTTGTACAGGAACGCGCCGCCCGCATCGCCGCCTCGGGCGGAAACCGCGATGCCTTCGGCGAGGCCCTCTTGTTCATCGGGTGCCGCTACCACGACAAGGACCGACTGCACGGCAAGCAGATCGACGAATGGGCCGAGCAGGGCGCGGTCAAGGTGTTCTACGCTTTCAGCCGCGAGCCCGAGCACTCTGAAGGGTGCAAGCACGTGCAGGAGCGACTTTGGCGCGAGCGGGACACGACCAGCAAGCTGTTCAGCGAGGGTGCGAGGACGTACATCTGCGGGAGCGGTGCTTTGGGCAAGGGTGTCGCGGATGTCGCTGCCAAGATCGCCATAGAGGCTGCGAAGCGGAAAGGAAAGGAAATGACCCACGAAGATGGATTGAAGTGGTGGGATGATTTGAGGGGAGAGCGCTATGCGGTCGATGTCTTTGATTGAGCCGGCGGTGCTCGATATGCTGGCAGAGCTGGGCTTCACTGTAGGAGCTCCGATTGATGGTGGAATAGGTAGCTGAAAGTTGCAGAAGGCTACCAGTGGCTAATTGAGACTCGAGAGGAGATGACAAAGTCTGTTTACGTACGGGAAACGATTTTTATTACAGATTTCTTTCACAAACAATCCTGTGCTTCACACTGTACAAGGGTGCTGTTTCTACCACAAGATGTGCTGGCGCTGCGTAGTGACCGGTCGATCGGGCAAATGCACCCACATGTTCTTGCCCAGTCTCTTCTTCAACGCCCTTGCCTCTTTCTCTGTTTTCTCTCTTGTCCTTGTCTTCTCTTCTTTCAACAGCACGGTGATGCCGGTGTGCGGCGGTCTCATGATATACATTCGGCCTCTGGCCCGATAGTCCGGTTCTTGCCCGTAGGGCCCACGGTTGGTCCATGCCTGGGCGACGTACATGTCAGTCGGGTCAGGTGCGACACCCTTTTTGTAGGTCTTCAGCGGTGTCTGGTGAGGTAGCGGCGGTGTCTCGCTCGGATCTGAATGGAGTAGTTCCGTGTTGTTGTTCTCAGTCTCTGATCCAGCCCGACCCAGACCCATGCCCTTGACAACGACGGCCTCGTTGCGGGCTTGGATGAGGTGCTGACGGACGTCCTGAGCTACTTTTTTGTTCGAAAACCTCATTTGGAGAATCGCCTCGTCGATGGATTTGCCGGCGATCTGGCGAGCAAGCGGAGCCAGCTTTTTCATCGAAGTCTTGAAAAAATGGGACCGGGACATGTGACTGCGCTCAGTCCGGGCGATTTTCATCTCCTTCGTCAGACGCCCGCGGTGTTTGATTTCTCGAATGACCATCTTGCGCTGCCATCTCAAGCGGGCCGCTGGACGCGGATTGAGAGCCTGTTCCATGTTCGAGGGATTCCGCTTCTCGAACGCATCTTCAACGAGGAGGCCGGTTGGCTGGAATGCTTTACGCTTCAATTCTCTACCAAAGGCGCTGGAAGGGGCTAGGCCTCCTTGCGTAGCGTTTGCCTCGTATTCTTTTCGTTGCTCGTTCAATCTGTCTTGAGCTCTTCGCGATGCTGCTTTCATCCTTTCCATCGGCGTCATTGGTTTGGCGTTTGGTTCCGTCGCATTGGCCGTAGCCTGTCTTGGCGAAGACAACCCTGAATCCGTGGAGGCGCGTTGGACGTTGGAGAAATGAAGTGATCTTCTTGACGGTAGATGGAGGGAGGTCATTAGACGGCATAGCTCGACAACAGAGGAAGTTTCTGTTCGTGACTGGCACGCTGCACCGCAGGTTAGTCAGTCTGTAAGAATTGAGGACAGCAGAAGACTTGCCTCTGCAAACATGTCGCAGAGATATCTGTTGAGTGTTCATCATGACGGCTTTGAGCTCAAAACGAGCTCAGATGCAGTGTTCACTGCCGCTTCGTTGTGATTGAACAATCGTCGAGTTTTAGCAGACTTTCAGACCGAGGGTACTGGGTACGGAGTCGAGCGCTTGGCAGCGGAACAACGTAAATCCCCACCCGAGTATGCCCCTTTTTTGGAAAGAGGCACGTTTTCTGAAATTGTTCAGCACCAGACCGATCAACCCGCCCAGCTCCATGCCACCACATCTCTAGATATCGGCACCTTAAAAGTGGACGGCAATAAAGATGGAGAGCAGAAAACAGTTCGCCTGAAGACGAAAACAGGCATTGCAGCCTGGGATACGAGCGCAACCGGAAGCAGAGCAATGTGTTCCCTGGTAGCAACATCAACCAACTGCTTGGGTCTGGGATCAGCATCTCTGGGTTTGCATGCTAGGGCTTTGTGCTCGATGGCCTACATCGGTGTAGCGCGGCCAAAGTCGTGTCAATCGGCTCTGTGTGGAGTATTCAACGCCAGCCTGGCGGTAACCCCCTAACCGGTCAGCTCAATCGCAGTCCTTCTCACCCCTTCCATCTGCTCGACAGCTTCGCAATCGAGAAGCCGCCAATTCAATTCTTCAACATGTGTATTCGAATTCACTCGGAAAAATTTCCAGACATGAAATCGAGCCGCCTCGACAACCATCAACTACTCACTCGAATCGAAGGTTTATGACAATAATGGCCAAGAGAGCTTTCGCTCCTCTATACCGCTGAAGCATGCATCTGAGACGGCCCGCCCATGCCCCCTCACCAAGGGGCATGGCAATCGCGCGTCCCCAAAATGGGGGGCTCGCTCTGGTCTCTTCTGACAGCCACCAAACTCATCCGGTTTTGGCTTACGTTCCAGACCAGTCCACGGATAAACGGTGGGAAGAAGCACCATAGTCAAGGTTGCATTGACGCTAACCAGTAGGATATCGCTCTGAAGCAATCGATGAGTATGCTGCAAGCATGCCTAGGCACTGAGGTGTGCCACCTAGCACTCGCTTGAAGGGTATACGAAGTCGACGGGTGAGTCGCTGGTGGCATTGCTGGGACTCCTCCGCAGGCTGTCCTCGTACTTGTCTCATGCAGCGTGATGAACAGATGATACCTCCGTTCCATTGAAGTACACATTTCGTCCCTTTGGCGAGATCCTTGTACCGCATGTTTGTGGCGCACAATCATTGAGCTGAAGACCGTGCTAAACGGTACACTCTTCCAGAATTCTTCAGACTAACCAGGAACCTCTCTCAAGCGTGATTTCTCTACAAAGCAGGAAATTTTAACCTCGAATTCATCAAAAGGGTCGACAATGGCTGTTGGATATGTCCGGAGCTTACTCTTGTTGTCATATGAGAGTAGTGAAGTTTAGCTGTGGCGCCAGGTGCACCCGCTCATTCGATCAAGCACTAAAATCTGCTGAAGGATTGAGGGACTGAAGCCTTTCCTCGCAGTGAAGCTGAGTTGGGCAATGATCCTGACACCCTGGATCGTACAAGCTAAGCTCACCACTGACCCATGAAATCTATATATAATCCGTCTCCAACACCATCTTTCGTCACACACACTGATCGCTTCAGCTATGAACTGCCTCGTTTTCCAGCTGTTTCCGTTACAAGATGTCGCCACCACCTGTTCTGAACGGCGCTGACCTTCCGGGCAGTTTTTTTATTTTGCTTCTTTTTTTTTAAATTCCTCACATACACCCCGAAAGCTAAATTCAACAAAGGCCAAAATTATTCTGGAGTGGCTTACGACCCATACGCCCAGCCAAATGACACAGCAAAAACGCTAGCGCAAAGATATAAATCGCCAAACACACCTGGCACCTTCCCTTACTATGAGCTATTTACAGGAATGGATAACACCAAAGACAACGTGGCTGACTGGATTCAACATGAAGTCAAGACTCGATCGCGTCATTTGTCATATATTCTGAGTGAAGTCGCAGATACAATTTCCTAGCAGTGGGAGCTTTTGGTAGAAATCAAGGCCTGTTCGGCACGCCCTGGCCATATGCCAATGAAACTAACAGCGCAATCAAGAATGGCGTATTTGTTTCATACTGGAACAAGTCAGGCGACAAGAGATTCGAAACGAGTATTGTTGATCCAGCATTCGGCGATCGCGCTGAAACCAAATCGTTGTACCTCCACTCAGGAAATGGCATAGATCATATCCTGAGCGCTGCAGGGGTATCCAGCGGGACCTTTGGGAAGATTACGCTGGATCGGTATGCAATAAGGGTGGGAAGCAAGTTGAAGCTCTAAGAAGTTGAAACATTTCGAGTTGACGTCCAAAACGACTAGTACAGGGTCACCACGGGGACATTGGGAAGTTGAGAGAAGGGCTTGAGGAAGGTGCAGACTGGCCAAAATCCAAAGCGTGGTTCTGTAATGCTTGGATTGTGGAAGACTTAATTAACAGAGCGCCAAACCATCACCGAGATGCAACGAAATTTTTTCCACATATAGCTGCGCTTCGCTGATAGTATTGCCTTTACAGTATCCATTGTGTCCTATTACCTCTGCAGGTATCATCACTTCGGCAGGTAGTTAACTCTATCCTTGCAAAGAGCCCTTGCTTGTCTGAATAAGAGTTTCATCCGCGACCACCAAAACCTTAGTCTCAACACAGGTTTCCAAGCCTGTTCCCCGCCAGAGCTGGTTCTGGCCGCCGGATGCGTTGCTGCTGACCAGATTTGAGAACCTCTTGTCACATGAACCCAGTCACCGAGCGCCAACTGGGGCTTGGGTATTGCGCGTATAGTGATGTATATGAGAACGCTGGTTTCGAATCTTCGGGTCGCGAAATTGGGTCACTCGTAGATAGTTCCACTCGAGCTGCTGGGTTCTATGAGGAGGACTACCAGCAATGCAAGGTTTGAGTGATCGAAACCAATGCGGGTGGGTGATGAAAACTAGGACCAGGGACTCTAGGTAAAGAAGAAATACATTTGGGGGTACCCCGTACGCTACCTGGGTACCTGAAAGTAGACGTGTCTAATCAGTGACATTTCACGGAGCTATTAAGCGGCAAGGCTGCGGTCCAAAAAGGGGATTCCTTCCCCTTGGTGTACCGGGTATTATACCGCCTAACCGTTCAGTGCAGGTGACCGAGCTTACCTACTGTACAAGTATATTGTCAAAACAAACTAGCGCGAGCGGACAGTTGACGCTAGTCTCAATGTTTCCATTGGTATGGAAACGCTCCAGAACGCCATAGTGTTTTGTATGGTGTTTCGGCGGGTAAAGGGAAAAGCAGTGTCTGGTTCTTCCATTACCTCACGCGTCTTGGGGTGCTGACGTGACTTGGATAGAATGGCCCTTTCGAAGCCTAGACTTCTGTTCTACCCCATTAGATCCTAACCTCGCAGAGCATCAGCTGTTGTATCCGATGATATTGGTACTCGACATCGATTTCGCGCCAGGGGCCTTCTGTGAGAGGACACGGGTGCCCGGAAATCCAGATCCAGGATGGAGAGGGCCATTCCGCTTACTGGGCACGGTTCGCCGCCATCAAATAATGGATGTCTTTTGCGCTGGCTGGGTCCATGCTGGGCATTTAAATTCGGTTGAGGGCAACAAGATGGCAGCTTAGGTACTTTAGTAAAACAGATATCGAAAGCAAGCCATGGCCTATAACCAGGGTCTTGCAGGGTGCAGTTCGCATGTGGGTTCAACGGCTTCCCCGCCCCGGACCGTTACAGCTTGGCAGAATTGAAGAGGACTTGAGAGGACCTCACCGCGCAGCATCGGGCTAGGGGTGCCGGAGAAAGCCCGACGCCGACAAACGGCTCGTGCGGTTGGGTTTTAGTAAGCCCTGAACAATCGTCGGAGGCGCTAAAAGGGCCACCAACTGCTCCAGAAGACCCTTTGGCCTAGCGGCCCCAAAGGCAACCCAGCATCCACCAAGCATCCAGGCCAGAAAAAGCCCACCAGCCTGGCCTCGACCTACTTGTAGTCACCTGCGACTTGCTCTCGTGCACCGCACAGACTCTCCCTGGAACCCGTATCCCGGGACTTCTCTCCCGGCTCACGCGCAGGATTCAACAGTTCTCTTGCTTCCCAGCTTTCTAACTTTCGTCATTCCTTACTTTGTTCTCTTCCTGCGCCCCGTGTACCCTCAAGCACTGTCGCCCACGCTTTCCCGCTTCCTCACCACCCACAACGCGCATAAATCTCAACCGCCTCGGTCCAACTTCCTGCCCCTCCGTCCATCTCCTGCGTTGCCATATCTAAGGTCTGTCTGGTCCTCGCTGAAAGGGGAGCATGGCCTCGTCACTGGGTCGGGGAACCATCAAGTTCGAAAGAGTCGGAGCAGGGTCAATAATCACTTTAAGTTAAAAGCTAATCAAGAGAGAACTTCTTCACGGCGATCATGGACATCAATTCACTTCTTTCTCCTTCAGAGAATCCTCGCGCCAGTTCACTGACTCCTACATCTGGCACCGGGAGTCTGTCGCATTCGAACTCGAATTTGCATTCGCAGTCACAATCACCATTCCGACATGTCCCACGAACCCAGTCCGGTACCGCAGGCGCAGTAAGTTCGCCCCTGGGTCGCTCTGTTCAACCGCCATCGAGCATTCCTGCCCATGTCAGAAGTCCAGCTCAACAGACTCCGCACTCGTCGCCGCTCATCAGTCCTGTGCCGACCGGCACCGCATCTGCTCACTTACCTCGATCCTCTTCCACTCCAACCATGGAGACCTTCGCAGACTTCAATTCATCCAAGCCGACCCTCCCCAGCCGCGAGTCGACCGACAGCCAAGGCTCATCCTCCCTCCTCTTCCCCCACTTGACTTCCGCTGGAGCAACCTCCAACCCTCGTGCCTCCATAGATATTAACATGGTCGAAACGCCGAAACCTGTCATAAGAGCAGATTACACTGACACTTCTCTCCCAGTTGAATCGCAGCAAAGGTTGACTGTGCTGGCTGCCTACATTCAACAAACGCCTTCGTCGTATGAAGCTCACAGGGAGATCATTAAAATCCTGCATCAAGGCTTCGTCGACCACATCTACCCCTCGTCAAGCCCGAACGCTCACGGAGATCCTCGAACATACGATCTCCTTACCGAGCTTCGCCAAGCTCGTGAAAACTTGGACAAGCTATTTGCGGTCGGTGAGGAACAATGGCTCGATTGGCTCCAGGATGAGAGCATTCTTGCACAAACGGCGGATGAGCGAGTCGCGGTTGTGGATAAATGTCGGCGGGCAGTGACGGAAGAGTACGGTAGCACTCGACTGTGGTTGACCTACGGTGACTGGGTCTCATATTGCCATAAATGGGCTCTCGACTCAACTGGAGAAAAGCAGGGCGATGTCGATACCGAACGCTTGATTGGCCGCGAAGTCTTTGACTGGAATATTGTCTTGGACACGTGGACTGAAGCCGTTGAACGGACCAAGCATGACATGAGTCGTAGTCATGAAGTCTGGAACAAGTATATGGCTATCCGGTTTGGCGACGTCAGCCAAAAGTTATCCTCGGACGACGCCACCACTGCGCTTGAACTTTTTGAAACCCGTTTGCGCATACCACATGCTGAATGGCAGCAGACTTTCCAGGCATTCTCAAACTTTGTCTCCGCCAATGTACCGGCCGATCAGTATGAGGAAATCATGGCGTCAAACCTCAGAGATTCAGCCAATGCCAAGAAGATATGGAATGACAGAGACACATTGGAGATGGCCCTGCTAGAGGCCCAAAATGCTGGAGATACCACTGTTGAATACCAAGCTTTCTCGACATACATCGAATGGGAGCGTGAAGAGGAGAATAAGCCGCCGACACAGCGGAAGGGCAAGGGTAAAAGAGCGCAAGAGGTTCGAAATCCTTACTTCGATATGGTCGACGCCCTTTACAAACGTGCAGAACTTCGTTTCCCTTCCGTGCTTGCGATTTGGGAGGAGCACATCGATTATCTGATCGAGAAGTCAAAATCGGACTTGCTGGAAGTCTTGGCTCGAGCCACGAAACACTGCCCGTGGTCTGGTTCGCTATGGAAACAGTACATGCTGACCTCGGAGCTTGCAGACGAGCCCTTTGACGAAACCGAGAAGATCAAACACAAGGCTACCAGCACCGGACTCCTGGACGCCGCAGGCATCGAGGAGGCCCTCGTGGTTCATGATGCTTGGTGCGGGTATCTTCTGAGGCGGACCAAACGTCCCGATGCTGTTGAAGAGGATGCAGATGTTGCGGAAATGGGGATCCGATCATCTATCGAAGCAGTTCATAGCCTTGCCTCGAAGTTGGGGATCGGAAGCGCATTTGACCCTTCTTTCAGGCTTCAGCGAAAACATGTCGAATACCTCAAATCTCAACGCCGGCTCGACAATGCGGGAGCGCAATTCAACGACGCGGTGGCTGACTACGGCAAATATTACAAATTCTGGATGCGCTACTATGAGTTCGAAATGCAGAAATCCATGCAAATTGCCCTCATCCAACGACCGGGGCCGGATCGACTGGATACTCTTTCCTCTGCGCCCTTCGCTGTGGGAGTCCTGAAACAGGGCCTTCAATACCGAGGTCTTGACTATCCGGAGCCGCTCATGGAAGCACTGTTAAACCATTGCGAGGACTACGAGGATGCAGATGAATTGCAAAGCGCCATAATTTTGGTCCGGAAGGTTCAGAAAGATCTCACGGCAAGGCGACAACGAGAGGCGCCTCAGGCAACAGAGGTTGCGGCACAAAAGGAACAAGCGGAAGAAGAGGTTGCCAATCGGACACAAGAGGTCGCTAATGGCCTTCACATTGGGAAGCGCAAGCGAGACGAAGAGTCGGACGAAGAGGAGGCGAAGAAACGACAGCGGAATGGTGAGACTGCAGAACAATCGGTTGAATCGATTCATCCTCCAGCAGAGGAATTGAAACGCGACCGTGAGCACGCAAGCGTCCTTGTGCAGAATATACCACCCAACCTCTCCGAGACCAAGATCCGGCAGTATTTCAGCAGCTGCGGAATCGTCAAGCAAGTGAAGCTACTGCAGGACGAGGAGGATAGTGTCATTGTGGAATTTGAGGATGCTGATGCCGCTTCTTTCGCCCTGTCTAGAAATGGGCGCGAGTTTGAAGGTGCTGAGCTCTCTATTGTTCTCAACACTGGATCAACCTTGTTTGTCACCAATTACCCTGCTGCCGCCGATGAATCCTACATTCGCGATTTGTTTCGCCCATACGGGGAAATCATCAATGTTCGGTTTCCCTCACTTCAACACAACAAGAGACGGAGGTTCTGCTACGTCGAATTCAAGCGACCATCGGAAGCGCAAGCCGCGACCGAGCTTGACAACAAAGACATTGATGGGCTGCGGTTAGTGGCCAAAATCTCCAATCCGATGGTACGGCAGGCAAGAGCGGAGAAGAGCAGCGACGGTCGGACGGTGTTCGTTGGTCAGCTACAATTCAAGGCAACAGCTGAGGATGTCGAGAAACTCTTTTCTAAATATGGAACGATCGAACAGCTCCGACTTCCCCAGGATCCGAAAAGCCATTCTCGAAACCGTGGCATTGCTTTTGTGACGTTTGCCAATCCAGAAGAAGCACAGGCTGCACTGGCCATGCATGGCAAGGAGTCCCAGGGCAGAAAACTGACCGTCAATGTTACGTCTGAACGTGACGGCCGATCTACCAAAAGCATCAATGGGCGGTCGAAATCTCCCTCGCTGCACCCGGAGACTGCTTCCCATCCCGCTAGCACAGAAAAGATTGTGGACCGGGAAGCCATAGAGGCCCGCCGTGCGCGGACTGTTGTCATTTGTGACGTACCTGATATTGTAAACGAGAGCCGCATCGAGGCTGTCGCGGAAAGGATCGGTCCTGTACGAAAGGTGATCCTGAAGACAAATCATCAAGGCGCTTTGATTGAATTCGAGAATGTCCCAGACGCCGGGCGAGCGATGATTGAGCTCGATAACTTGGAGATTAATCCCGGCCGCCATATTCGCGTGGCCACAGAGAAGGAAATGTTGCAGCAAAAGCCGGAGCACAAGATAGATCAGTTTGCTCGTCCAGCTCCGAAAGCTGTTACGCCTGCCAGTGGCCCAGTCAGACGCCCTGCACAGCCTGGTATTCGGAAGAAAGGGGGACACCTCGGACAGAGGTCAAGCTTTTTGCACGGGTTGAGTGAGAAACAGCCTGCGAGTGCTGAGCAAGACAACGGAAGCGGAAAGAAGACGAATGATGACTTTCGAAACATGATCAACCAGACCTGATGGGACATCACATCGTCGCAGGGAGTAGTAAACTGTGGGGGGGGGGGGGGGGTATGATATCGGCGAGAGCCTTTCCTTCCAACTTGGACCTTTTGTGACCTGTACTATAGAAGAATTACTGGGCAACCTCATTCATGGTGTATGTACTGGGTACCACAGAGATAGTTAGCCTTGTGGCATGAAGGTAGTTATCGATGCCCAGATGACAGAGTCTGATTGTCTGCTTACGGGGTATTCATGGAGAATTTGATTGATCAAACTGATCGTAGCTAGCAAATGGTTTTGGCTGAATAATAGAGTCCCGTGACTTTAGACCGTTCTTGACTGCGCTTGATTGAGACATTTTTGGATGTTGTACTGGTAGCCTCGCAGCCTCGCAGTTTCGCAGCCTCGTCATGTGGCAAATCGAGCTCTGATTGGCTAGTTCAGGGTTTTGATTGATCATTCATCCATCATTTATCCGCGGCCACCCTCTCGACCCCATCATCTGTCCTATATCTATGCTGACTATTTGTATCCCTTCTACTTTTTCCTTCCTTCCTCTCCTTTATCAACTAACTCGAGTGGACTACGGGCATGAGGCTACGCTTGTAACAAAGACCGTAATGAACCAATCCCGCCTGCGGCAGCTTGCCGCTCATAACTACTCGACCTTCCGACGCCAGCCATGGAATGAGATCTCCGGCTCTCTCGGTGACCTGGGCACTTTCCTGCCCATTGTCATTGCCTTGACTGAGGGTCACCAGATTTCCTTGACCACCACCCTCATTTTTACCGGCCTGTACAACATCCTCACAGGTGCTTGCTTCGGGATCCCTCTTCCGGTCCAGCCGATGAAGGCTATTGCAGCAGTCGCGATTCTTAAATCCCTAACAGCAGGGCAGATGGCGGCAGCCGGAATCTTTGTCTCGAGTTGCATCCTGATTTTCAGCGTTACAGGCCTTCTTTCGTGGTTTACAAAAGTCATTCCGATCCCCGTGGTGAAAGGAATCCAGGTCGGCGCCGGGTTGAGTTTGATCATCGCCGCGGGCACTAAAGCACTTTCATCCCTCTCATGGACTATGCCGTCCTGGGCGGATAACTATCAGTGGATGATATTGGCCTTCATTGCTCTTTTTGCGATCCATCTCCGTCCGCGAACGCCCTATGCTCTGATCCTGTTCTTCGTCGGCGCCGTGTTCGCGTTGATCCGGATTACAGCCGATGACAAGCATCACCTTCCAGGCTTTCAACTGTGGCGCCCGTACACTCAAGCACCATCCGCAAGAGAGTGGAAGACAGGAATACTCGATGCTGGCATTGGCCAACTGCCGCTGACCACACTCAACTCCATTATCGCCGTTACCCACCTCGCCGCTGATCTCCTCCCGGACATAGAATCCCCTTCAGTCACAGCAATCGGCATTAGTGTCGCAGGCATGAATCTATTCGGATGCTGGTTCGGAGCTATGCCGGTGTGCCATGGATCAGGAGGACTAGCGGCACAATATCGATTTGGCGCTCGCTCGGGTGCCAGTATCATCTTCCTTGGGCTTCTGAAGCTCCTACTGGGTATTCTGTTTGGTGAAAGTCTTACAGACGTCCTTCACAGATTTCCCTTGGCATTTCTTTCGGTCATGATCATCGCAGCCGGACTGGAGCTTGCCAGTGTCGGAGAAAGTCTTAACACCCCCCGGGCCCGGGATCTGAGCAAAGAAGGGGTCAGCGCAAGGCGCACCGAAATCACGGACGAAGAGAAGAAGCGAAGATGGACTGTGATGTTTGTGACCGCAGGCCTGCTTGTTGCATTCAAGAATGACGCAATCGGCTTCGCGGCCGGCATGTGCTGCCATTGGAGCTTTCAACTATCCAGCTATTTAACGCAAAGAGCGGCAAGAAGACGACACGTTGAGACTCCCGCAGATGCCGATGAACGCGTGAACCTACTTCCGTGAAAACCGATGAATATCACCAAGGTATCTCACTGCCCGACCTCGAATATGTCCCAGTCACTCCATCCGGCCCTTGAGCTACCAACTCGGCCACCCTGACAGCTCCCAACTTCGGGTGCAATTCGTCCTTGGTCAGCTCCGCATTGTTCAAACCCGTCGCACGGTACCCTGGACACACGCTGTTGACCTTCCAACGTGGGTACAATTTGGAATAATACACGGCGAGCGCGTTCACGGCGGATTTGCTCGAATTATACCAGGGTCCCTTGTACATGAGGCCACGATCGAGGGTAGTCTGTAACGATCCCAAGGTGGAGGATATGAAGATAACTTTGGGCAGCTTGGACTTTTCGAGTAATGGCGCCAGGGTCTCGGTGAACACGGCGGTAGAGGTAACGTTCACGTTCAAGCAGAGGTCGAATTTTTGTCGCGTCGTGGCGTCTGGGGGCAGATGTTGCGCGGCGGTCCCGGCATTGTTGATCAGGACGTCGAGTCTGCCGAAATGCTGCTGGATGGCAAGGAAGCAGTGCTCGATGGATTGGTCGTCGGTGATGTCGAGTTGGATGGGGTTGACGTTGATGGGCGCGCCCATGCTCGCCACCGCTTCTTCCCCCTTCTGAGTGTCGCGGCATCCCATCAGAACCTGGTTGTTTGGGCTATCGCCGGCGAGCCTCTTGACGATTTCGTAGCCAATCCCTGTATTCCCGCCCGTCACCAGGATGATTGTCTTTTGCCGTGCGACGACGCTGGAGGGCCGGGTTTGCAGTTGTGGTCGGGACATGGCGAGTGTGTGGAAAGAGAAGAGGCTATGGAGATCTCTTAGACAGGCTGTGGCAGATGGCTGTAGGATGGGTGATATAATCTATAGACAATCGAAAAGGTTTTTGAAAACACTTGTAGCAACGGGTCGATAATCCGCCAGGAGAGAATACGAATCTTTTATCTTTCGCTACGTCACCGGCTCAGACTGGGAAAAGTCGGCAATATTGACAGCAGCATTATTAACCTATTGTCCAAAGCGGCTTAACCCCACACACTATGCCATATGTGTTTATTATCTCCGACGACATTTTCGTTCCTTATGGCCGTATTTGGATACTCCCTCCATACCTCGATACCTAATACCTACATACCCAGTACCTGGGTATGCATGGAGTACTTTTACGCACCAACTCTTTTGACTGATTGAATCGTGTCCCGGAGCCGGAGAGCAGACATAGAAACCCTCTCTCCCATGACGTGCATAGGTCCCTACATTTATCTAAATACTTCCCGTGTAAAGGACTGGTACCAGCTGACTAAGGCCCCCAGCTAAGGAAAAGGCCGCAGGAGTTACCGTAGTTAATTACATAGGAATGGGAATGGGGAGATTGGTCGTGGCGGTCACTTGTACTCACTCAACTCACTCACTCGCGGACCACGGCGGGAGACGGTCGGTCAATCGCAGTGCATTTCTGGAGAGCGGCGACGGGAGGGGAGGGGAGAGGCGAGGCTGTCGGCCGATATTTTACGGACCACACACACACATATATATATAATCCCCGAACAGTCGTCTCCCACTAGTCTTTCGCCGACTCATCACCCGCTGCTTTACTCTCCCGCTAACGACTATTTAGTCGACTCACTCCCTCGTCCGCTTCCTTCTACTCCCTTCCTCTCTTTCGTACTCCCCTTCTACTCTCTTCTGCTCCCTCACGGCTCTAGCCCGCTTCTGTCGTACTCTCTCACGTATCGGTGAGGCTTCCGTTTAGGCTTTAGTCTTACACGCACCGACGTTATTGTTAGGGATTCCTTGGTAAGTAGGCAGAGTCTAACGATAAGCGTATATATAAGATATCTCTATAGTATATAGTCGATACTGTACACGACTCAAAGTATAAAAGAAGGAAGAGTGCGCCTCTCATACGGGAAGTGCGCTAGTAATAAGGATGCACTCCCCGAGTCGCATCTATACTTAGCTGGCGGTCTGATTATTTGTTATGAACCGCTTTGCTACGTAAAGTGTCACCGCGATAGCAAACCTAGTTTACTTGGTGAAATAGGAGTGGGGCTGTGTAACTGAGACTAAAACCAAGTGTATAGTGAATGAACTATACGCACATCAGCAATTTTTCCCGCGGCTCACGGCATTCTTATATACCCAGGGAGCCCAGGGAGCCCACAGTCGCTCACAGCTCTTATATCTAGGCTATGAGCCTCTATAGACCATCTATTTTTAGTAACTTTTATAATATACTTATTATATAATATTATTAAATTTAAAAAGGTCTTTTCTATTTCGGAAATAAGGTTTACGCTAAAAGCGAATAACTCACTAAGTCTTTATCTTAGTGAATACTATAATAGAGCACTTCAGAGTTCGACGTGCACGTGCAACAACGCACAGAGGCCTGTCCAGCAGATCGGGAATCGAGAACGCGTTTCTAGTTAATACCGACAACAACACCACCAACACCACCAACACCACCCAGAGGGGCAGCGGCTAGGGCTACGAACACCTAGCACAGCGGCAGCATCGAGGGACAGGACAGGATTGATAAAACACTCAGGAATTAGGTAGACAGCGCTAAAAAGCCATAGAATTCATGATACTCTGCTCAAACTGTAATGTATAGCACTCTGCCAGCACTGTAAACTGTTCCGCACCCCCTTCTCTGCCAGCCCATTTAGATTTGATATGTGACCTAATAGATCTTTATCTACCACCGCTCTACCAGCCCATGTTAGGGATTCCTTAGTAAGTAGGTAGAATCTAACGATAAGCGTATACTTAAGATATCCCTATAGTATATGGTCGATACTATATACGACTCAAGCGTAAGACAGGAAAGAGTGCGCCTCCTATGCGGGGAGTGTACTAGTAATAAGGATGCACTCCTCGAGTCGCATCTCTTGGCTGGTGGCCTAATTATATTAGGCGTCCGTCCTTCCGATGTTTAGCCGAATCCGTAACAGCTCAGTACAGCCCATCACAGTATAGCCACCTCGCCTTATTACAATACTAACGCTATTAAGCTAATAATTTAAGATTTAGTTCGAAACCTTATATTTTATATATATCTACTTTAATTCTAGTATAATATAATCTTAGTTAGTACTAATTTAAATGACTAGTATAATTATATATTCGTAAAGTTATAAATTATTATATTGTAACAAGGCAAGGTGGCTGTGCTGTGATAGACCGTGCTGGGCTGATAGAGCGGTGGCAGAGAGGAAAAGTTATCTAGTCACATGTCAAACCTAAATGGGCTAGTAGAAGGGGGTGCAGAACAGTTTACAGTGCTGACAGTGAGCCATTCATTAGAGATTAAGTAGAGCATTATGAATTCTATGGTTTTTGGCGCCGTCTACCTAATTTCTAAGTGTTTTTTATCAGTTCTATCCTATCCGTCGATACTTTCGCTGTGCTAAGTATTTATAGCCCTAGCCGCTGCTCCTCTAGGTGGTGTTAGTGGTGCTGTCTTATTAGTATTAACTAGAAACGCGTTCTCGATTCCCGATCTACTGGATAGGCCTCTATGCGTTGTTACACGTGCACGTTAAACCCTAAAGTACTCTATTATAGTTAGCGACCGCGGGAAGATAATCTATTCATCGAAGATTCGAGCTCTTTACGATAATATCTTAATAAGATACTATATTAAGAATTACTAAAGTTAATACTAAAGAGTGAAGAATACAACTAAATAGAAGTTCGAGATTAACGACTAAAATTCGCGTAGGCATCGATTTAACTCTAAAAGACGGTAAGACTATTTATAGAGATAGAGTCCGCTAATTATTTAAGAAATCTTTTCTACGAAAGAGTTTAGAACCGAAATATTAAGAAGGATTTAAGATGAATAACTCTTTAAAGAAGTAGATTAATTAGTCGCGAATAAAATACTACAGTGAAGATATTTTCGAAGAGGAGATACTTAATTAGTAAAACGAGACGCTATAGTATTATAATATATAAAGTCTAACGCGGAACTCGGAGAGAAAGAAGATTATCTCTTAAAGATTTAGAAGTTCTTCTAGATGAGCCGTCGAAAAAGTATATTCGCGGAAGAACTAAGATATTGTAATAAGGTAAGGTGGCTATGCTGTGATGAGCTGTGCTGGGCTGGTAGAGCGGTGACAAGGTAAAAAAGTTGTCTAGTTATATGTCAAACCTAAATAGACTGGTAGAGAGAAGGTGCGGAATAGTTTACAGTGCTAGCAGTATGCCATTCATTTTTTACAGATTGAGCAGAGTATTATGAATTTCATGGCTTTTAGTGCCGTCTATCTAAATCCTAAGAGTGTTTTATTAGTTCTGTCCTATTTCTCGATACTACCGCTATACTAGATGTTCGTAGTTCTAGCCGCTATCTCTCTAGGTAGTGTTAATAGTGTTATTATTAGTATTAACTAGAAACGCGTTCTCGATTCCCGATCTACTAGATAGGTCTCTATACGTTGTTATACGTATACGCTAAATTCTAAAGTACTCTATTATAGTTAGCGACCGCGGGAAGATAATCTATTCATCGAAGATTTAAGCTCTTTACGATAATATCTTAATAAGATACTACATTAAGAATTACTAGAGTTAATACTAAAGAGTAAAGGACACGACTAAATAGAAGTTCGAGATTAACGACTAAAATTTACGTAGGCATCGATTTAACTCTAAAAGACGATAAGGCTACTTATAGAGATAGAGTTCGCTAATTATTTAGAAAACCTTTTCTACGAAAGAGTTTAGAATCGAAATATTAAGGAGAATTTAAGATGAATGGCTCTTTTAAGAAATAAATTAATTAGTTACGAATAAAATACTATAGTGAAGATATTTCCGAAGAGAAGATACTCGATTAGTAAAACGAGACGCTATAATATTGTGATATATAAAGTCTAACGCGAAACTCGAAGAGAAAGAAGACTATTTCTCTAAGGTCTAGAAGTTCTTTTAGACGAGTCGTCGAAAAAGTATACTTATCGAAGAACTAAGATATAAGAAGTAAAAAGATAAATACGCGGAATAACGAAGAAAAGAAGTAGAGAGATACGGAATATAAATAAGTTTTAAGATAGAGAAATATTTTAATAAAGAATTTAATATAGAGCTGTAATAGTAATTCTAAACTATTACGATTAGATAGATAAAGAAGATATTATCGACGGCTAGCTATTACTACGTCGAATATAGTTCTCCTAGTTAATTAGTGTTTAAGGTGCGAACTTAGTCGGCGCTATAGAGATTACTCGCGTAATATTAGAGCTAATTAGAAAAGTCGGTTCTCTCGTATACGGAGATCACTCATAGATCGAGAAGATTACGAACTAAGTATTAAAGAGCGAGATCTATCCGACTATTAGATTAAGTTCCGAGAAGAAGGCGCCTTGCTAAGAGCGTAGCTAGTTTACTTATTAATTTAGCTACTACTTAAAGAAATCGAGGGTGTACGCGAGCTTCTAGACTAATTCTTTCGAAGTATAGAAGCGATGATATCGGAGTAATCTAGAATATCGAGGTTTCGAGAACTAGCTACGAGTACTTCTTTAGCGTCTTTCGCTATATTCTTATCTTCTTCTAGAGATTCTTTATAGTCGTCTTCGTTAAAACTAATATAAATAATAACGACACCGAATCTAACGATAATAACGTAGAATAAAAATAAGCTAATTATATTAAAGATACCGTAGAGAAGTAAAAAGAATTTCGAATACTCATTCTTTAAAGGCGTAAATACTACGATATTCTTAGAGAATTTTAAGTATTTATCCTTATATAATCGATAGTTAGAAGAAGAT